ATTACGGAGGATGGCATTGACCACATGTTAAAATATGATTCCCCTAGAGAGCAAGAACCTGCCCAGTGTCAGGGTGTCCTGCCAGCTCAGGGGCTCCCCTATAAACCTAGCTCAAAACCCGAAGGTTGTAGAGTGATTTCCAAGTTCAGGAGAACCACAGCAGGCAAACCCAGACTGCTCCCAACGCATCTCAAACGCGGCTGCCTGAGCACCCCAAGCTGCCCCGCGGTTCCCTCGCGAGCAGAGCGCACCGCGTTGCAAACCGCTCGAGCGCGGAGCGCCGCTCCGAGCCCCGGAGCAGCGGCAGCCGCAGCAGGGCCGGGCGCCGCCGGCACGGGGGGCTCTGCTCCCTGGGCCAGGGAAGGCTCCTGCGCAGAAACGGCCCCTCTGCCGTCCCAGCGCCTCCCTCTGCCCAAGGGCACAGAGAGCTGCTGCTCGGGGCTGCCTCCCTGCACCAGGGCCGTGCAGCGGGGACGGCTCTCACTCATGCAATCGGGGCAGAAGGACCCTGTGCTCCAACCAGCAGAAACCTGGGTTCCTACTGAGCTCCATCTAGAAGCTGGGACAAGTACAGACTATTCTGCCACTCTGGCTTTACTCAGCTTTTCAGCTGCTCTTAGCAGCCCCACAGAAGGAAAGGGTTAAGCCTTCTCACCTCGCCTGCATAGGAAAGACCTCCAAAGATCTCTGCAATTTGCATCCCATTGTTTTGGGAAAGGAGATAAGGAAGGGGAGATGGTAGTCCTGCATTAACAGCCCCCCAGGGCAAGAGGCAAAATGAGGAACTGAGAAAGGCCAAGGGATGCCCGTGAAAAGCAGAGGCTGGAGCAACCAGGGCTATGACACCCTACGTGAGGTTGCAATATTAATTCCAACCCTCCAATATTAAGGATGATCTGGATTTGTGTGGAGCTGCCCCTGGCCCTTGACTTGGTCCTTGCTTTTACTGCTCAGCTCCACAGGGCAACACTGGCAAGAGTGCCCGGAACTTGTCTCTGGGTCACAGAGACGGAGCCGGGACCAGGTCATGAGACCTGCTGGGCTCAGCCCGTGTTCACATAATAACGTGACTGGGAAATAAAGGAGGGAAAGCCAAGTTAGGAATACAGAGGGCAGGCTGCAATGGGATCTATCAGAGCTGCACAATTACCGGTGTGGGAACACTTGCTCCTTATGCAAAGCTGCTCCATGGAGACCTCTCTTCAGAGACACCGAGACGGCTGCGTTAACGATTGCGCTCGTATTCCGGGACAGACCCTCACCACACCCAGCTCCAGTGCAGATAGATCTAAAACAGTATTTACAGGATCTAGAAGCACATTTATACACTCATACTACAGGCAAATCTGTGCTCTCCTCCATCCTGAAAAGTCTGAATCATATGAAAAAAGGAGTCAGCAAGATTGTTTATATCACTTCATTTTCCTACAACTCTTCAAAGTCAAAGACAGCACGAGTCACATCCCACATCTCCCACCACGTGCAAATCATCAGAATCAAAACTCTGTTTGGAAGAGGAGTAATTCAGCATTTTCTGCTGCAGGGCACCTGCTGCTAGACCTGGCATTAGACATTCCTTTCAAATGCACATTTCCTTCCAGCCACCTGCAGTACCACCATTGTTTCCAACCCCTTTTAAATGCATCTGCTGCTGGATCACAGCAGCGAGGGAGAAGAGAGTGTCCTGCCAGCAAAGAGGGGCTTTGGAGCCTTCACATATGTAGAGATGCACAACAGTGTCCTCCATAGCTGGGTCCCCTCCTCTTTCTATCCTTAAAGATCCAAGATGCCTCATGGAGCCTTTCCTTATAACAGTCCCAGATGTGATTCTGTGGGACTACTTGGGAAATAGTCAGTGGATCTGAAACCAGGACTTGGCAACAACAGCTCTCTTGGAGGATAATTTTTTTTCTGATTTTCCACCATGTTTAGGCCTAACTTTGTGCTTGCATGAATTCCCCCCCGGCAATTCATATGCTACTGCAATATCCAAGTTTGGGTTAACACCTTTGTGTTGTTTTTTGGGTTTTGTTCTGGTAAAAACTTCCATTGTTCTGGACTGCAACTGAATGCAGAGAAAAAATTATTTTCTCTGGATCTCAGCCTTTTCCTTTCCGAAGTGTTTCCAAAAGAGTTAAGATAATAAAACCCCACTGTTGAAGAGCAGGAATCCAGCTAAGCCTGCCAACTTCTTTTGGAATCTGATGTTCACACAAACACACGAACAGGAGCAGGTTTCTAGCTCAAACACCCAGTGGAGCAGAACTGAGACAGCCCTGACCCCTGGGGCAAGGTGGAAGCATGAGCAGACTCCTGAACCAAACCCACTGCTGCTCTCGCTCAGAAGCCACCCGACCAGCACTGCACATGCAGGTCAGAGGCATCTTCAAGCTTAAACCTATGGCAGGTCTCCTTTACAATGCCACACGGACAGAAAGCCAAAAAGCTTCTAAAAACAGTTCCTAACAAAATAGAGGGCTCACAGGAGCTGATGGTTATCCAGAGATAACCAGATTCATTTGGTATCCTTTTATCTGGGTCCATTAAGAGCTACTTTGCAGCAAGTCGTCATGCCAAAAGAAATATGGTTGTGTTTTGAAACAATGCTGAACTTGTTTTGGGTGTCAGGCAGTTTATGGTACTTCACAGTAATCATCTTTTCCACTAATTTTGCATAGGAGAAGCCCAATTTCTCTGCTAGCAGAAGCCTCAGTTACTGAATTTTAGAGCTATTCTTACTGATTATAACACTGCAGCTACAGCACTCCATCAACTTGATGGTGTATTTCAATACAACTTGCTTCAGAGCTCGACAAAAAACTTCAGTTGAATGTTAGCCATCCCAAAACCTTGAAGAACCTCTCTGTACTTACCATGATTTTTTAGGGAGGAAAAAAAAGTGCTCAGAGAAGATAAAATTGTTCCCCATAATTAAATTTAATTGTAAAACTTCGTGCTTCCATCAGGCACTGCAGGTTTGGTGAGAACAGGCTGTTTTTCCATACCGTATCGCATCCATGCACGAAGAGGGAGCTATCACAGCCAGTCCAGGCGGAAGCGGGAGGGTTCCAAGCTGCGGCAATGGGGTGGCAGGAGGCAGGTCCAGCTGGGCCCACCTGCCACAACACACAGCCTCCGCGCGCTCCGGGACACCAGCAAGGCTGGCAACTACCTGGCCGGGCACTGCCAAGAGGGGACAAGGAATTCCCAGGCACCGGCCAGCCAAGCTCCACCCGGGAGCCACAACAAGACCGGCAGGATGTAATCAAAGAGCATTTGGAGCAGAGGAAAAGGGCGAGCTCCCACGAGGGGGAACTCTAGAGCAGCACCCAGCGGTGCCCGAGCTCCACAGCGGGGGCAAACAAGCAGCCCGGCTGCAGCCGGACGCCGTGTGGGCCTGGGCAGAGGGCAACCCACAGTGCATAAGGGCACACAATTTCTGGCACTGCAACGAAGACTCCCTTGTTTCAGTCTGTGCGCAAAGAAGAGAAACAGACCAAGTGGAAAAAATATGTTGTATTCTGAAAACTCTGTGCCTACTCAAACACATCAGCCTTTTGCAAGAAGAGAGCCCGAGAGAGCATCAGTGGGGGCAGCACTCCCATTTTCCACTACCTACAGATCTCCTCAAGCAGCAGTATCCCCAGCATGTTTGTAGGGCTGTGGATACAGGCTGAACCACTGAGGTTTTCCTACTTGGCAGACAGTAAACCGCGGATCAGCTAGCCTGGATTAAAAGGTCAGCTTGCAGCACAAGGGAAGCCTCTTCTGACGAGAATCCCTGAAACAAGGTGAAAATAACCTCGGTGTCTGAGCAAAGCATGGGCCTGAACAGCTCCATCATGAAAGGCTGTCATGAAGGCATGACATTCGGGTAAGTTACCACTGTGGCTTGAACAGAAAAACAACTCCACAAGAAGGCCATGGTGGTTAAACCCAGTTCTCATTTCCCAGGTGTTTGATGGCAGAGCTGCAGGGAGCCTGAGGCAACACTGACCCCACGAGTTGGACTGGAGACATCAAAGCGCTGTGGACTAGAGCATTGACACATGCACGCAGAAACCCAGACCGTCTTCCCACTTCTTCCAAAAGATAAAGACAAGTCACTGCATAAATGGAGAAATAAGGCACTGAGTGGAAGAAAGATGATGCTCACTTTCCTTATGAAACACTTGAGATCTCAGAAGGGCAAAGAAACACGCAAAGAAGTGCTGCCCTTGAGCAACCTAATATACTTTGTCCCCATTCTGACTCAAGGGTTGGATTAGAGACTTTCAGAGATGGCTTCCAACCTAAATTATTCTGTGAATTATACACAGGCAGTTTCCTGGTTACAGAGGATTGGACAATTTTTCTTTCCAGGTTCATCGCATCTGCTGAACTCAACATAAGTCACCTGTGAACTCACATGACTGACTCTTCTCTTGTACCCATCCTCCTGCACAACCTGCCCAAGGCTTACGCTGAGATAGTAAAAATAAGAAAAAATAACTGTAACATTACAGAGAGAAACACAGATGATACATAAAGCACAGGCTGCTTTTCCCCCACAGAGAGAGCTTCATTCTGCCTACCCTGACACCCTATTTCCACTAGGGAACATGTTAGCCTTTGCTTTCTTTAGGGGCTCCAAGATTCATTTGAACTACTCCTTTGAGGAAAAGGGCAGGTGAGAGTAATTCAGTTTCTGACCTACTTCATGAAAGCCTAGTTGAGAAGACGGCTGCTCACTGCTTCTTGGTCTAGCGGCAGTTCTTGGTGCACTGGAATATAAAGCAGCACACCTCACCGAAAGCGCTACGGTCTAAAGCAGGGAATTGCATCAGAGGGGGTAACCTCTTCCGGCGTTTCCTTCTGTTAAGCCTCTCTAACAACACAGAGAAGCAAAGTAACAGCCAGGGGAAAGCTATGCTTACATGAGCTACCTGTGCATTCACAATGGAGTTTAGAACTCGTTTATCAGTTCATAAAATTGAGTTTAAAAATACAAGATACGAAGCTTAAAAATATGCCTTTTCTTTTTGAAAAAAAAAATGTACAGGTCAAATTTAAGCTGATCTACAAGACGACACTCAGCTATCTTTAAGAAAAGTAAACCTTTGCAATGCACTGCATACCAAGTTTTCTAACCAGCCAGTGCCAGCGAGCAGGGCAATTTGCAGCGTCTCCTGAAAGGGCTTCAGGGGCTTTTCCCTGCTGCAGGCAGAGAGGCTGGGCAAGGCAGTGCGAGGCCTCCCCGCCCCGGGCACCAGGTTAGCTTTTCTCCCATCTCCCTCCTGCACTAGAGCCTGAGCTCAGCGCGAGGTTGGCGTGGGCACAGCGGGCAAGGGCAGTTCCATGGGGGGAGTCTCAGTCACTTCGGCTGGACTGGGCTTGCGAAGCTCCAGCTTCTCAGTGAGTTGGTTATAAAGCTCCTTGACAGCTTCTCCGCTCTGCAGGGTGAGAAACAGGCAGGGAAGAAACAAAAGTCAAATTTTGTTCTAGCTAAACGCTACAGGTACCACAAAGGCGTTAGCACAAACCAAAGTACAACAAGGAAGTTACACGGTAATTAGAGACATAACTCGGAAGGCTTCATTTATTAATGAAGCTCCTTCATTTATTAATTAATTTTCCCTTTCTCATGTCTCTCCTTACCTGCTTGGTGGGTTCCAAAGCCTTCTGGAGAGACTCTAACTTCGTAGGAGCCACTTTGTGATGGAGATGAAGCAGCAGTCTTAGGACATGTCTATGTACATTCTCCTTTCTGCAAAGAGCAATTTTAAAGCTGAGTGACTGATATAAACAAACATATTCCTACCTAACAAAGAAAAAGCTACCGCAATAGAAGCAGGACACCTTACACACCCAGAGACTGAGAGTTTTGCTATAATTTGCCAAAACATCTCAGAATTGCCTGAATATTACAAAATGCTAAGCCTGCCTTGGATTTCCACGCAAGTCATATAATCAATCAACAGGGGCAACAGGGCAGCACTGTCTATAGCAGCTATGAAAAAGGGAGGAGAGGTTTTGAGCAGACTGTAGCAAGTGGCAGCAGCTGGTCGCTCTATTGGCCAGGCCATGAAAAACATTCAAGAGACAAGAATTGTAGTTTAGGTAATAATTTAAATAATTTACAACCTCAATACTCTCAAAGTTAAAAGAAAAAAAATGAAAAAAATGAAAAAAAAGCAAGACTTTTCTTAAAGAAAAATAATTAAGCTAATATTTCCACTATATGCTGAACTGAAAGATTAAACAATACATCAAAGAATCTCTGCAGCATCTCTCAGCTGCCTTGTAGACTCACTTCTGTTGAGGAAGATCAGATTTACCTTGAGCAGACTGTGAGAAAAAAGCCATCAAAGAGACTGGAACAAAACTCCTCAAGTGCAAATTCATCACCCAGCAGCGTGAGGTTTCCAGTGAGCAAATGCAGAAAAATATCACTGAAGGCCAAGTCACTGAATGTCTCAGCTATACAACACAAAAGGAAAGAGATTAAGACTGGCAAGAACGTGCCAGGCTCCGATTACACAGTAGCAGATGCTCCTGCAAAAAACTCTGTAGTGAATTTTCCTTCACTGGCTTTTGCAAGAGGTAATCCATGCAGGTGGCCATAACCTTCCAGATATATAACACTAAGAGCAGAAGGGGTGACAAGAGATTGTGGAAGACCTTCGCCTCCACCAAGACTGAAGTCTCACACAGTCGCTCGCTGCTGCCTGTACCACAAAGGCCCCTAATAACCTTCTCCACAGTCCTCTGTTCACGGCCTCCTCTGCTCACGGCGATCTCCTCAGGGAGCAGATGGGAAGCACTTACCTGGTGCAAAACTCACCACCACAAATGAGTTCAGCAGAGAGTCAAAAGATCATCAGAACTGGGGCAAGGCAGGCAATGGGAAGTGAGCTCCCCCATTACCAGCGAGAACAATCCCTAAGAGTAATTGCAGGTTCTTACTGAATTTAACCCACAAAAGTCAGTGAAGAACGTAACGCCAGGGAGAAGTTTAGGGCTCTGTTTGGTCTTGTTTTGTCACAAGTTTTTTCCACCACTCTGTTGAGTCCCAAGGATTTCGGGCCATTTGCAACTTTTGTGAGCTGCAGAAAAACTGTCACCTAGTGCTTTATCTTTCAGCTTCACTTCAAACAGCACTCAGCTAATCCCCTTGTTAACACATTCTCGGACACAAAGAGTTACTGACCTTCAGCCAATATGCTTAAATCCTTGGATGAGCAGAAAATGCCAACTGTAGGCAGAAATAAGCATGTGCTTCTACAGGACCTCACAACTACATTACCAGAAGAGCCAAAACCAGAACATAACCTCTGTGACTCTAACATCACATTCACCTCAGGTTATCTGCCTTCCTCTGGCTCTCCAATGAGACACACAACTATAGAATAGAAGGCAAGGACAAAACTCACCTAGTGCTGGCAGAAGCCGAAGGAAAGCATTCTTGTTCCTCAGTTTAGTGATGTGAAGGAAGTAATACAACCCAATCTCGCAAGCTATTCTATTCTCCTGCAAGAATCTGTCAGAAAAGAAAAGAATCTGTCAAAAAAAGAAAAACCCTCTACCATTCAGCAAACATGATACTGTCTCACAATCAAACTCCTGGACCAGATGATCTCTAGAGGTCCCTTCCAACCTTAACTATTCTGTGACTGTGAACATTTAAGATAGCACTAAAAGTGCTCGTTCATAATGAGATTTAAGAGAGACCTCAAAACTCAAACATGAATAAATTTGGAATTTGTTTTGTTTAAAAGTTTACCAAGTGTCAAATAACAACACTGCAATCAAACAGCCGTAAGTACAACTCCACCAGGATCCAATATTCTGAATTTGACATACAGATAAGATTTTCCTGGAAATTACTGCAACAATACCACTGAGCACACAGAGGATGTCTGTTTATCTTTTTGAAGTTCCTGGAGTGATAGGTTATCAACAGAGAATTGCTGTCTCTGATAAAAGTCAATCTTGCAATCTACAGTAGCACTCATTAAGCAGCAAGCGTGGGCAGCTACATTCAAGTGCTGTCGCTCAGACCTTCACCATGCCCTGCTCGGGAAGCTACACAAGCAGCATATTTGAAAGCAGTAATACCAGATGCTTCCATATAACCTGCAGTATTATTTTGTGTAAGTAACTTTTATTTGAGGAATCTTAGTGGAAAGCTGTTCTGCTAAGGGATAACTTCAGCCTTGATTAAATCATTCCCCAAGAAAGCCTTCATTTTAGCACATGCGCTTCCTTCCTGTCAGTGTCAGCTGGCTCTTGGGTATTCTGCTTTGATAATACAGCTAACATGCACTAACCCAGTCAGGCTGATTACATACTTGGTGTAAGCTTCGGGAATCGCGCTGGGATAAGGAATCGGCCCCTTCTCTTCCGAGGGCAGTTTCTGATCTACGGTGAACATGTGGTCATCCACCACAAAGGACATCACCATGGGTAAGAACTTTGTGATCAGTTCAGCTTCCTTAGAAGGATGGAAGAACAGGGTGGAAGGAAAAAAAAAAACCACGTGTACATCAGTTCATGCCGTCTAACAGTCTCAGAGCATTGTAACAAATGCTGGGTTAGAAATAGCTCTGCAAGAGGCAGATCAACCTGTGTTGCACCAAATTCACAGCATAGGAGGCTCCCGCTTATGAAATCACAAATAGATCAGATGGAAGCGATTTCCTTCAGAAGGAAGTTTCAAAATTTCTTTCCAAAGCATTGATGAAAATATTTCCAAAGAGTTTCAAGAAAAATCGTAGTGCTACTCCTGGCCTGTCAGTTACCTTTACTCTTACAACCTGAGTATTAATGCACATTCCTCCCACAATAAGCTGGGATGTGTCATCAGCCAGCAACACACACCCCATAGCCTTCAACTCTCCCCCATAGACATTTGATGTTTTACAGGTCAGAACAGCAGCACCAAATATCTCTCAAGACACTGGCCTATGGTGCAACATTGTGGTTAGCACCTCGCTGCTACCAGCTGATGCTCTCTGCTCCTGGAGCTCTCCAGGGATGTCTGTAATATTGGCCAAAGAACGAGCACAGGACAACTGTCACCGAGTAACACAGCAGCTGAACGTGGCACTTGCATAAATTCACTGTCACAGAGATCTGGAAAGCAAAAATATTCTTCCTGTTGATGAGAAGCTGCTACACTATTACCAAAGCTTCACTGCAGCCTCTGAAATCCTTCTGCTCTGTGAATATACATATATTTTTTTTCAGAAAAGCTACAATGAGAGGCACGCAGAAAGCTGCCCTGAAGACTGAAACACGAAGCAACACAAAGACCACAAGAAACAAATCTAGAGAAAGCTCTCACCATTTTGGGCTCCTTGAAGACCTGGCTGTCAATCATGTCCCAAGCTCCCTGTCCCAGAGACAGCATCCGAAGGAGCAGCAGCAGATCTGGGCTTTCCTCGAATTTTAAGAGGAAGGAAAAAACAGCTATTTTCATCTTCTACAAGTTGCACACAGGGACATTTCTTTGGAAGCAGTGGTTTAGATTTAAGGTTCACCTAGATTAACTGCTTTGTCAAGGACCGCTAGAGGCAATTAGCTCTCCGATTTACTTGATGACTGATTGCAGCTATTTGAATCACAGCGAGCAAGCACAACCAGACACAGCAGATTTGGGTTTTTTTCTCCCATACCATTTTATAATGGGCCACACATGCAGTCGATCTGATCATGACACTGTTTTCAAAGGTGTCCAGCCAAATTAGCATAATGAAGTATAATGTGTGACAGGATCAATCACAGCACGTCAGCAGAAGCAAATGACAGAAAATAAACGTTTATCATTTATATTGTCTTTAAACTAAACATTTTCAGTCCTAAACTGTCAGGAAGAAATTATTTAATCCAATGCTGGAATTTAGAGAGACCAGGGATGAAAAAGAGTAAATGCTTCATACTGTTCAGGCTCTACAAGGCTCCCCTCCTCTAACATTTCAAGTATCTCCTGCTGATACTACTCAGAAAGCCAACAGGCCAGAACAGTGTAAATTATATCCTCACATTTACCATGTCAGGGAAAAAATGCTGCTGTAAGGCAAACTGATGGAAGGAAAAAGCAGGGATATGCACACAGGGGTAACTCTTGGGACAAGATAAGTCACTGTCCATTTGGAAAGCTTCAAATGCCTGTCTCCAAAGGGCACACCTGCAGAGCTCTCAGGTAAGTGCAATGAATGCAAGGGCAGTGTTACACTTCCCCTGTTTCAGCTCACATATGCATTTGAGAGCTTAGCTCTACTGACTCCAGTGTGCTAGTCTGGCTTTGCTAATCAATGTCATTCAATTAAGACTCTTCACAGTATCACATTAAGCACCCCAGCTGCCCATACTCACCCTGGGTAGGGTGTCCTGCCCAACCAGGTCTTGTAAGTGCCTTATGGTACTCAAGGCTAAGGTGTTAATGGCAAAGGGATCACACAAGATCATCGATAAGTCCCTAAAAAGAAGCAAAATCAAATGTGTCACATATAGCAATCCAGCTCCATGTCTAGCTGTAGGGCGCCAGCTACTAGAGCAAATGAGAACTGAGAGTTTGCCAAGTATCAGATGGAGTAGCAAGCAGTGTGTGTGTGCTTTTTTTTTTTTGGCAACGTACACCCATAGTTACAGTACATTTATTTATATACTGGTTGTTATTTGCCATTAAGAGGCAAACTAACACCTAAAATACCCATCAGATGTTGTGGCCATTGGGAATCCATTTTCAATTTCTCGGTAAACAGCCTAAAACAGCTTACCCCAACACTTGCTCCTGTCCTTTCTTCACTCCATCCAGAAACCCTTGCAACTCCCGAGCTCTCTTGTTGTCCACAAACTTCTCTCGAATGCAGGCATCAAGGCACCAAGTGAACTGTTATTAAGAAAAAAGAGAAAGATTTACAATAACCACAAAAGAGGAGGTCAAAAACACACACCTCCCAAAAGAAGGTCAGAGATAGTCACGGAAGTTCAACTGCTATCACTTTTTCCTCTCCCAAACATTAATTCCCCGGCAATTAAGGAACAGGCACCTAACATAGTATACAACTGTTCAGTACACAAGAAGGAAGGTTATACAGAAGCAGTGTCACTGAGCAATAATAATGTGGGAAGCGAGAAAAACGCAGAATACCTCCTTCTTGCAGGAGATATCAAAAGAAGAGCTGCCTCAGGTTTATAGTTTCTTTATCAAAATGGAAAAAGACAGTTACGGGAAACAATTTTATGCAACCTAGAATTGTTTTTCCCTTCAAGAAAACATAACATTCCCCATAATTTCAGCCGTCATAATAATAATAATAATAATAATAATAATAATATAGACAAACAAAAACCTTGCTGAATTTTCTGAAATGTTTACATTATGGTATGCTTTTCTCACCCCAGTCACTGTATTTGCAATGGAAAAATTAGGTCACTGAAAATGATCTGTAAATTGAACAAGATTGCCCCTTTTCTACAGTCAGGGTGTGTATGCTGGTTTTGAGACTCCTGATCACAGGACACACTAACCATCACTTTAGTGCCTCTTCCTTACAAGCAGAATTACACACACAAATTTGCAAAATTACTTAAAGAAAAAGCCTTGCTGTAGATCAGAATGTCACTGACTACGAACAAAGGACCAGTAACAAAATCCTGATGTGAAATTAACTCCTCATCCCCCAATATTTTAATAGTTCTATGTTTCTTATAACTCAAGATCCAAAGAATTTAATCAGTTACACACACAGGCTATTGACAGATGGAGTATATCACACCAGGCATAACAGAGAGGGAAGCAAGCTTTGATTAATAACCTGGCACTAGCCAATGTTTCTGATTAATTTTTGCAGCATCTACATAGGTCGGATTAGACACTATTTTAAACACTGCACAAGTACCATAAATTTGAACGATTTATGGGTTATGAAATGAAAGCAAGCTGCCGGTTAACCAAGACGAAATTTTCACCTGAAGTTCCAAGGCATATAAGATGACTTTTGCATTCAAGTTCTGAACTCTCTTCACAGAGAGGAGTCATCTTCTCTGGGCTGAAGACCTGCAGAGCAGCAGGTGTGCACAGCAGTGGACGAACACAATATTGTCCAGGAACACTCCCATCCGTCCCACATGGTTAATACCTTATGACATGGGTCAACGGTGCAGATTTCACTGATATCCAGGTCATGCAGTGACATCAGGAGCTCCGCCCGCAGCGTGCAGTAATGAACATTCCTTGTCCGGAGGAACAAAGTTCTCAGGAACTGTAACACCATATCATAGAGCTTCACGTTCTTCCCAATCATCTGGGTCAGCTTCTGAACCACCTAAACACAGAGTGGAGAAATCTGCACTCAGTACCAGGAGACACACACCCCAAAAAAACAAATCCAGAAACCAAACAGAAGATCCCTTAAGGATGATTCTTCTACGGGGTATTACTCAGTTTGAAACATCCCCATTGAAACAGCTTCCTTAAGAGGAGATTCCAGAGTTCCCAAGAGGGTTTGTTCAAGAGATGTCCACCACGTATTTCACAGGCATGATGAGGGATGCTCCGCCTGCGCGAGCCAGCCCACCTCCCCACAAAAGCTTTGGTGCTCGCTGATCTCTGAGCAGGTTCAGCTCCCTTGCTTGGAAAACTACTCACTGCTCTTGTTTGCTAAGGCTTCAACTGACTCAACTGACCCACAGGAGGCTCTGAAAATCTCCAGGGCTAGAAATAGGGAAGAGAGGAGCCGAATATGCCCTTTAAATGGCAGACAGCAATGAATCAACTCAGCCACCTCATGTAATTCCAATTCCACTCCAATTCCCTGTAAGATGAAGGCCAGCTTAGCTACAGTTTAAAACATTCCTTTCTATTTTGATAAAAAAATGATTTTTTGGGCTATGTCCTGCTAAAGAAAAAAAGGGGAAAAAAAGAAAAAAAAAGCAATTTAAAATATCCAACTGATTTGATAGAAATGGTCAGTGTTCAGAATAGCTGAGAGATATTAAAACCAGATTAAGTAATAAAAGCAGCTTAGAATATTAACAAATTATCACATAGCACTGAATAAACATTAAAATAACTCCTGCTGCTTTGATCAAGATATACAAGACAAAGAATGAGCCAGCATTTTTTCTGTATCATTTGTCCACTTAATCAAACTGAAGTCAGTAACAAAGATGGGGAGTTGAAATGGACTCTTGATAGCTTTATTGTCAACTTTATCAAGGAAAGAAATTCCATTTGTGAAAGAACTTTACAAAGCTTCCCGCTTCTTACCTCTCCTTGACGTCTTGTTTTGGGAGACGGGGTGAAGAAGTTGTGCAGGACAGAAACATCATTGCTGAAGAGAATGTTTTCCTTCTCCAGGATGTATTGCTTCAGCAGCGGAGACACCTCATCACCAAACAGGGCTTGGTTATCCTGCCAGATCTGGCGCTTCACCTCCACAGCACATGCTTTGTACAAATCCTTATCTGCCATTACTAACTTGAGCTTCTTTTCAGGCACCTGCAACCAACAGGGCAGTTACCAAAGCGCAGAGCAGCTGAGCAGCCTGCCCAAGCTACACGTAACTGACTACAGAAGATGGCTAAACATCTCATAATTTACACGTCCATGCAGTTCAATAAAAGGAGATATCAGACTCATCTTTCGGCTTTCCCTACTCCTGGAACAGTAAGCCAGTCCTAAGCCACTTAGTTTCTTATGCAACCAGACAATGCACCAATGTTTTCAGCTATTTTTCTTTCTCTCCAAAGAGAATACAAAGCTTGAGTGAAAACTCAAAATTAAGTTTTAAGGTGAGTACACAGTACACACCTTAAAAACACAGTAGCTTTAAAAATTCTAGTACCAGTTTTGAATTCACTGCCATATGATGCTTTTAACGAAGCATCTTTGCAAGGAGACTTGCTTCATACACCTTTATCTTACTCCTGGCCTCTTGCATTCTTCAACTCTTACTTTCCCTTTGCCACAGTACTGAAGTATTGAAGTCAGTTCTGGAAAAAAAAATTCCTATTGCTGAACTTTACTTTTATGAAGTTCCACAGAATGGATAAAAGGGAGAAGCAGTCAGTGCCGGAGCCCTGGCACAGGCTGCCCAGAGAGGCTGTGGAGTCTCCTTCTCTGGAGATCTTCCAAACCCGCCTGGATGCCGCCCTGTGCCCCGTGCTCTGGGTGACCCTGCGTGTGCAGGGGGTTGGACAGGGTGATCTCTAGAGGTCCCGTCCAACCTTAAGGATTCTGTGATTCTATTCTATGATGAGGGTGTTTTATGAAGGTAACTGCACTCATTTCTTCACCGCCCAGCTGCGGGGGGCTGCACGGGGAGCAGCGTGGCCAGCTGCAGGAGGGCTCTCACCTTGGGCAGATGCTTCATGACACACATGACAACCGGCTGGATGGAAGGCATCTTCACCAGGGAAAAGCTCTTCTCTAGCAGATCCTCCAGCTTCTTGTATCTGAGAACAGGCCCACGGAGACAGACTCTGAGCAACGTTTAAGGGCACAGGACCAGTGACGCACCGCGAAGCCACTGGAACTGGTGCTCCCAGGCACGAACCCTCCCGCAGGAGTCACTGGCCCGCAGTGAGTGATTTTAAACGGAATTCCCAGCGCAGGCGGAGGAAGCCCCAGCCCGCGCACGCACCTTTCCTCAAGCTTCCCCTCCAAAGCGATGGCCGAGACCCTCTCGAGCAGCTTCTCCCGCAGCTCGTCGAACACGGACTGGTGGAACTCGAGCCGGGGGGTGCCGTGCAGGTCCAGGAAGGGCAGCGCCGACTGCAGCGAGGGCAGCAGGACGCCATTCTCGGTCTGCCAACACAGACACCGCGCGGGGGCTCGGGAGCGCGCTCGGGAGCCGCCGCCGGGGCCGCGCAGGGGAAAGCAGGGCGGCCGCGCCGCGAGGCCGCGCGCACCTGGAACTGCTCGATGGCCTTGAGCGGCTCCGTGCAGTTGGTGAGCGTCTCCTTGAGGTCCTCGCCGTTGGCCACCCCCAGCTCCTGCAGCCCCGCGTACATGGCGGCCCGCGGGCCGCTCCCGCCGCCTTCCGCCCCGCCGCCGGGCGGTCCCTCGCTCTTCTCCGCCCGCCGCCCCGCGCGGAACCCGCGGCGCCGCGCAGAGGTTCCGCGGCGCCGCTGCGCGGGAGCGGTACGGGCCCGGCGCCCGCGGCGGCTCCGCTCACCTTCGCTTGGCTGCGAGGGCAAGAGCGGAACTGCCGCGGGGGCAGGAGGCCTCCTGCTCCTCATTGTGCCACCATCACCCAGCAGCGAAAAAAATTCCTGCCATCTTCCTTGGTGCTTCCCACGGCCCGCAGCGGCGCCTCGGGGCTACTGGCGGCCTCGCCGGGCTGCAGTCACCCCGAAATGCCACCTGGTTTCACCCGCTGCCCACTAACCCTCCCGACAGCCCAGAGCTGGGCTCTGCCCGCGGGCACTTCCAGGGAGAGCTCGGCAGGGCCGGCCGGCCCGCGCGGTGACCCCGGCGCCCGCGCTGCGCTGCTGCCTCCTCCTGGGCCTTGGTGCCCAGCGAGGGGCTGGTGGGACAGGCACGGCCAGCCCGAGGGCGTGGGCGCCGCGGGAGCCAGGCCTGGCGCCGGTGCTGGCCGCGCGTGCCGCTTCTTGGCAAGGGGAGCAGGGCCTTTGACCCGCGTCCTCGCTGCAGCGTTCGCCACTCTAAGCAGGCCCCAAGCTGCTGCCGCAGCCAGCTCGGGCGCCGTGAGCCCCGCACGTGCTCCAGCTGCGGGCCCGCGGCATGGGAGACGGGAGCTGGATCGCGCTGCAGGAAGACAAAGCGTCCGGGCCCTTGCCTTAAAGATACTGTGAGCCTGAGAGGTGCACGTGTCTGCACCGTGCCATCCCTTCAGCCTGCCTAGCGACATCCTCTGCCGGGCACGGGGACACGATGCCACCGTCAGACCTTGCTGATAAACAGCCTAGATAGCAGAAATTTAAATGTTTCTTTCCTGGAGTGACACTTGGATTGCTAGAGTCAATCACTGGGAAACACAAGGCAACAGAGACTTCTCCTTTCCAGCAGATTGTCTGTCTGGGGGAATTTGCTTTTGGCCTCCGAAAGGAGGAAGCGGGAGCCTCTTCAGCAAAGGCTGGGCATTATTTTGCAGGAGATGGACAGAGAAGAGGCAGGTAGGCACCTAGGCTGATACCGGTCTGTCTGCAGCCAAAGCACCTGAGTGTGCCCCACTGTTGTCCTCACTAATAGGACCTCTGCAAAGGCCAAGGTGGTGAAAGTCTCCCGTGTGTGGAAACGCAGAAATGCAGTGTGTTTCCCGTGCCAGCTGCCACCTGAACGCAGCGAGATCGATGGGAACAACAATCTGGAGGAAAAGAGCAGAGCGCCGACCCTGTCTCCGATCCCCGAGGAATGCTGGCTGCAAAGGAATGCCTGGGTCCGCAGCAGAGCTGAGCACAGCCTCACATAAAAGTAAATCCATCCGACAGGAGTTTCCCACTTCTAATTTTGGAAGTCTCCTACTCTGCCAAGCTCAGAATACCAAACCAATGAGCTTGTCTGCTTTTTGCTTAGTAAACAGACGAGTTAACCCCACATTTCTGTTTACCTCGACACCACTGCCTGGAGTAGTTTCGAAGCTCTTCTGATGTCTTTGCAAAACTAGCTCTGGAATCAGCACCAAGCCCCAGTTTTATTTATTGCGTGGACAGTAAAAGGGAGACTTGCCTGACACATCACAGCTTGGCCCACGCTCCTTGTGGTCTTGTGGCTGGGTTGACGCCACATCATGGCCCAGGCCCCGCCTTTCTCCTCTTTTTAAAGACGGCAAAAAGCAGCCCCTGGCACTTGCAGACTTTGCATTTGCTGCTCTTTGCTCCTCCACTGCTTCCTCTTTGCCTTTTCAGGGGGAAAAAGAAAGAGGAGAAAGTGCCTCATGTCTTGGCGTGAGCTGCTCCCGCCCTGGCTGGTGATCGCCGCAGGACTCACGGGCATCGTGCTCCTTTGTGTCTCCACTAAAGACGTGCCCAGCACCCCGCTCTGGAGCAAGGTAAGGGCATCTGCCTCAGGCAAGGCAGCCAGCCCCGGGCTCAACGGGGCAACAAGCAGAGGGGAGATCCTTGTCTAACAGGCCTGCTCCTTACATAGCAGCTGCCTGTTTCCTCCAGCTTCCCCCTGGTGCCTGACATTTAAACAAATAAAAGCCTGTCGGGCTTTGTTGCTGCTGACATTTATGGGGCTGCTGAGGGAGCTGCTAGTCCAAACCAACAGGCTGAGAAGGGGACAGCGCAAGGCTGTGGGGATGGGGTAGCCACCTTCAAACGCTGTCGCTTGTCAAGCAAAGCAGAGCAGCCCGGTGGCTCCCAGGTGCTCAGCTGCCCCAGCAAAGCGCAGGCCGAGTGTTGTGCTCTCGGTAGCAGAGACATCACTGCAGGCTGCGCACAGGAGCTGCCCAGGGCACTAAGGGACCAGTGGCTTAAAGGGCCCTGAACTGCCTTTGTCCTTAAAAACCAAACAATCAAAAACCCCAAAGAAACAAAACCACTTTTATGCCTCCTCCTTTTCTGTCCCTTTCACTTCTGATTTTTACCAGTGAGCCAACCTGCTCTACCCAGCAGATTCAGATCTGCCCAGCGATCCAGGGGTTAATCCCTATCTGCTTATGCCTCTTGATGCAGCGCTGCTGAGGTGAGGTCGGGCGCACGCTGTGGTTGTCTCGCACAGAAGTAGGTTAACCTATGATTTTAGTGATGCTGCCCACCCCCGCACTCTGCTCAGAAACAGACCTGCATCAAAAAATCCCCATTGTTCCATGCTCTGCCCACCCAACATAGCAGCCAGCTCTACATCCCCCCATGATGTTGGTGTGGCATAAACATGATCTTCTCCTTTTGCTCCAACAGCAGTCTCATTTTGTGAGGGAGAAAAAAAAAAGTGACTTCCTCCGCCAAGATCATTCATTTCTTCCTCTTCTGCAGCAGCTGACAGGCCCCTGCGAGCAATACGGGCTGCCTCTTGCGTGGGAAGATGCCAGCAGGCTCGGGCAAAGAGCTCCGTCCTCCTTCTGCATTTCTGCTCAGGCTCCAGACACACGAGCTCCTGGCCTGGGAGCTGCAGCACGTGTCTGCTGGAGCGGGGAGCGTTCCCAGAAAGGAAGGAGGAAGGAGCTGTTGCCAGGCTCTGTGGTGCTAAACCAACCTCCTCCGAGGCTATTTTTCCTCCACTCAGTCATGGTTACAATTTCTGCTTGGTCATACAGCACCTCATTGCTCCCAGATCTCCCAAGCTTCCCTTCTCTCTGTGTGCGAAATGTCCCCATTTGGCATCACATAATGAGGGTAGAAAGAGGAAAAGGTCTCCTTAGAAGAGGGGCATTTTGAGAATGGGGATGTTCATAACAGCCACCAAGCTATGCTGTGGAGCATCCTTGCCGCTTCTTATTCCCATATCCACACGCTGGGCTGCAGAAAGTGCAAAAGCCCCAGTCTCAGTGCTAGACATTGCAGAAGGGTCACTCACAGCAGACAAACTGTTGAGACGTCACGTGCTGCCAGCTTTGCTGCCACCTTACCTTGGTCTCTGTGGGACTGCTGTGCTGGAGAGCAGACGTGCTGGTCTGCCTGAGTCCATTGCAGCTCTGCCAGAGTGGGCACATTTCGGGGCAAACCTCACCCGTCTCACACCATCTCTGCCAGGGACTGCAAACAGACAAGCAAGTCTTGAATTCCACAGATGCAAGAGCAAGTCACAGTCCTCTGCTTCCTCCCCCAAAGTCTGGTCTCTCGAGCAAAGCAATGCAGCAGCAACTGGAGTCCCAGAGTTAGCAGAGAGCCTATAGTGCTGCCTCCCCCTTCTTCAGGGCCTGGCTCTCAAGCTGCTCCCAGGGAAAGCCTTTGCAGGGTTTCAGGAGCTGCTGAGGACATGTCCAGCAGCTGCCACTGCAGAGTTGCACTGAAGCATTTCCCCACTCCCGCTGCTCCTCACGTGTATTCAGCAACACAGATACATTACTGCAAAAACACATTATTTTCTGGCTACACCCTTTCTTTGAATTTAAAAACAAAGTTCAAATACTGCAGTGTGGGCACAGGGGTTTCTCAGAGTACTTGTTATTGCAGGGTTAACGAGCATTACACAAGGTGTGCATGGAGTGGTATTTAGCTGTAATGCTTTGTGGTTTTCAGTATGGTGTCGTCCTGGATGCTGGACCATCCCACACCACCCTGCTCATCTACCAGTGGACTGCTGACAAAGTGAACAACACCGGGGTGATCAGGGAATGGAGCTCCTGTACTGTGCAAGGTATTTGTGTTTGGGAGAACACAAACGGAGAACGTTTGGGAGACGTTTGGGAGAACGGAACGGGAACGGGCTGACTGGAAACAGAGACAGCTGAATTGACCCATTTCCATGGTTTATGCGTCCTAGGGTCTTCCTCACTTTGATTTGAGTGAGTCCAGCTCTGCCAGGGACCCCTAAGCAGCATTTGTACATTAACGGTTGGGGTTTTCGTTCCCTATCTCCCAGTCTCGCTGTTGAAGCACGATTGCAGCAAGGTGTTGGGAAAGCCTCAGCTCTCGGGACACACTGTGCAGTGGGAGGGCAGCCCCAGCATGCAGAGGGGAAGGATGGAGGGGAAATCATGGCTGGGCCTTAGACAGCAGGCAAGGGCTTGGGAATGGCAATTCAAATTCCACTTTTGTTCATCTCTGAGTAGATCAGCTCTACACACAGCCTGGACGGCAAGGTTTGTGGCAAGCTGGCCATGCAGCCAGGAAGACGAGTGGGCTAGAGGGTGAGGAAGCAAAGCCCTATATGGGTAGTGGTTTAAAAACATTAGAAGAAAAATAAATGAATCTTACTAGAAAGATGCATTGGGGCTTGCACTCAGTTCGTCTTGGCGCAGCACCAGCTTCCTCCAGAGCAGAGGTGCTCTGCTTGCAGACGTGGGCTGCAGAAACCGTGGCTGCCAACACACGAGGAAGTAGCTGCTGAGGCGGCTGAGACACCAGTCTCATGTCTGGGTCCGCCTGTCCTTTTGCTTATCTTTTACGAAGGTGAGAAGCACACTCTTGTGGGTTGAGACGTCCTCGGCTGTAAGTGCTCTCAAAGCCTCTTGGAGTATGATTTAGGATTTTTATATATTTGCTGTTTTGCTCCCAGTGCTGTGTTTTAGAAGACTGGCTACTGGTCCACTGAATACTTCTTGATCTGCCTGTGATAAGTCCCGCTTCTGCAGTCCTTCAAGGCATGCTTAATCTCCTTGCAACTGCTCCCACCTTTCTCCCACATCTTCCCATAGGATATTTCAGTCTTTCCTCTGATCCTTAGGTCCTGGAGTCTCCAGCTACTCAGATTCTCCTCAGGAAGCAGGGAAGAGTTTGGAGCCATGCCTGCACTGGGCCCAGAGAGAGATCCCAGCAGAGCAGCACAGCCAAACCCCTCTCTACTTGGGAGCCACTGCCAGCATGAGGCAGCTGAAGTGAGTGAATGTTGCAAACCCACACACAGAGATCAGCACATGTCATGTGGATCATTCTGTAAATGAATGACAGCCCATCTGCTCTGCAGCCTGTTTCATCCCCAATCCACTGGTCAGGTAAATCTTCCTCGGCTGCCTGTGCTCCCAAAGGAAGTACAGCACAGCTGGGTACCCATGCCAGGCCCCCAAACAGCCTCAGGATGCCAGGCTTGCTGCTGCTTCCAGCCTGCCTCAAGTCTCCTTCACAACCAGGGCTTGGGACAACATCTGTCAGCTTTGGAAGCTGGAGTGTTTTCAGTTTATGTGACAACCCACATGAATTTGCCATGCTGGTTCTTGTCAGCAGGCTGGGAGCTGCGGTGGGAACCTCCAATTTATCACATGGGTTGCTCTGGACCCTGCTCTCAGTTACCTCATTACTGGGACCTCTCCATCTCCTATTAGACACTGGGGAAAACTAGTTGGGGAGGGAAAGGTCAGTGGGGCAGGGCCACAGACCCTGCAGAGGCAGAGGGATGGGAACTCAGGGCTCCCAAGTTCTCAAGCAGCAGCCCAGCAGCTGCTCAATCACCCTGCCAAATCTTTGTTGCCCAGGCTGCGCTTGCCCCAGTGCTGAGTGAGGGGAGGAGGAAAAGGCAGGGGGAGGAGGATTTTCATTGCATCTCACTGTACTCAAAGCAGAAGTCCTGCTGCTGTGGGCTACTCCTGGTGGGCCCTGTAACAACAAATATGCTGCTTTTCCTTTTCTGTCTAGCCTCACCAATCCCATCCTCTCCGATGCTCTCCTTGAGGCACTGACAGTGGCCCTGAAGTCAACCCCCTTTGACTTCCAGGGGGCACAAATCCTGTCCAGCCTGGATGAGGAAGCATTCAAGTGGGTTGCTGTTAATTATGTCCTGGAGAACTTCATCAAGGTAAAGGGGGATCCTTCCCTGGGGAGTACAGAGCTGAGGGACTGCCATTATGCAACAGCAACGCACAGAGGGGTTGTTAAAGCTCTGCACTTTGAATTGAGCAGAGCTCCCACTGCCTTTCAAAGCAGCAGGTCACCTCAAACACCAGCTCCCTGTAAAAATGAAAGGACAGGGTCAGGCAAACATTAGCACCACTGGCAACAGGGGAGCCTTCCTCCCATCCCACACCCAACCCACAGACACTTACATCAGCGGTCACAGAAACCTGCCTGTCTCTACTGCTAACTTCAGCATTGCCAAAAACAGTTCTGCAAGCCTGGGGGAGATGAACCCACAGGATGCTTCTGACAGGAGGATCACTGTGGCATTAAGGCAGCACTTGAAGCACTAGCTGCACCCCTGGCAATCTCCCTGCCACTCCCCACTATCCTCTCACCTTTCCCTGCTCTTACCTGTAGAGACTATTGCCCTGAACAGCCTGCCAAGGCGGTGACCCCTGCGCTCCGTTTGCTCTCGCTGACCATGGGGAGCTCTCTGCACAGGCGGCAGCACTCACACAGGGCCTCTCTGCTCCCTCCAAAGCCACCAGCTCAGCATCCTTGTCCCTGTGGGGAGACAGAAGTTGGGCTCTACTGCACTAGAAAGCTGCTTGCTCTCACCCTGTGCAGGAATGCTTGTTTCCTAGCAGATGCAGAAGTGGTGAGAAGTGACCTCTCTGTTTCTCTGCGTCAGTATGACTGGCGAGGACACTTGGTCCCCTCCAGGAAGGAGATGGCAGGAGTCCTGTCCTTGGGAGGAACATCAGCACAGCTCACTTCCCAGATGGAAGAAGAGAACGAGGCACCAAAAGAAGGAGTGAGGCTGCAGCTGTATGGGCAAACACACGCGGTGCACACTCGCCAGTGCCCCTGCCAGGGCACGCAGCAGCTCCGCAGCAGCCTGCTCTCCCTGCTCATACATGTGAGTATCTGCTGCTCCAAGTCCTGGATACAAAGTCTACCCCCTGTGCCACGTAACAGTAGCATAAGGCAAGAGTTAGTGTAGCTGGTAACAGGTGAAACGGGGACCGTCTTTAACTGAGGGTGTTTGTACGGATCTAAAAGTCCAGTGGGTCAGATGCTCTCCATGCCCAAACTAATTTCCTCTATGCAGACACAAAGGTACCCACTCCAGTTTCTTATTTGCAGGCTGTTTGGCTCACTGCTTAACACACAAGCACAGAATGCTCTGCAGAGGTGCTAAGACCACCTTCATGGTGGAAGGAAACAAACACTTTGTTCAGCTCCTCTGACCTGCCCCTCCATTCTACAAGGTACCTGGGAAGCAGCTGGGCCCTTGTCATGAATCATTTTGGAACACACTGAAGCCAAATTTTTCACAAATGAACTCAAATGAGTTCACCCCCCACTTGCCTCCCCATAAACCTGCTCCAGCCACACCTTTCTCTAGGGAATGGTTCCCTATCTGAGGCTCACATGGAGACCCACTACACGACTATATTGCAGGGACTCCCCAGGGATGAGAACTGCTAATTCTTGAGGTGTTCCCACCAACCACCTGGCTCTGTAGGCAAATAGCTGCTTAGAAGAGAGGATTAGGAAGCGGCACGGTACTTGGGTCACCATAGTTACCAGGAGCATGAGGGCTGAAGCACCATAAAACACTGAATTCCCAGAAATTCAGAGACCAGACTTGTGAATATAGACAAAACAGGAATAGAACGGCTGTCGAAGACAGAACAGCCTCTGCACTGAAATTGTATTTCTGGCCTGACAAGGATAAGACAGGGCCAGGACTCCCACAGGTTGTAACTCCTCAGCCTCCAACGGCCAGCGCAGTCCTTGCAGCCAGCCTGAACTCAGTGGGAGCTGGGACCACGCTGCCTAGAGGCCTAGGCCTTGCAGTTGAACAACCTGGATAAGGTCTCTTGCAAATCGCCTGCTCCTGCGTCTCCTCTCTTGCTACCTGTCTCCATTTTATGCTGTCCCTCTAGGATAAGAGCAACGTGAAACCTCTGTTGAACCCCTGCTGGCCCCTCGCCTACTCCCAGCAAGTGCGGTGGCGTTCAGTGCACGCTGGGCCCTGTGCTGTCACCAACGACACCCTGGGCACCCCCAGCCCCCAGGACATGTTCAACGTCACCGGCTCCAGCAATTCTACTACCTGCAGGAGACTCGTGCAAAGCCTGCTCAACTCCTCTTCTTCCTGCAGCTTCTTCAAGCTTTCTTTTGACAGTGTTTTCAAGCCTCCCCGGACCAAGTTTCTGGTAGGTTCTTATTTACACTGGGCTAAGCAATCGGCATGAAAAAACCCTGAAATTGGGCCAATTTGTCACTCTTTAATGTAGTGGGACCAGCCAAGCTGTACCCTCAGCTAGTCAGGACTGCCAATGCTCTGGCTAGTGCTGAATACCCAGTGCTAATGCTGTAAACATGCAGTCCTGGCCTGTCCCCTCCCCAGGGCACACTGTTCAAAGTGGCACCCCAGGCTTCTCATCAGTAACTGTGATCCCTGGGGTCAGAGGTACCTGTTTGTGCAATAAGGTTTGGGGGCCCTCACAGAGCCATAACGGAGCTCCCGTCCTGCACCGAGCATCTCCTCTTCCCTCTTCAAACAGCAACTGATGCTTCTTTCCCAGTGCCCATCAAACACAGACAGAGAGAAAGGACATCCTGGAAACACGTCCCCTGGCTACTGCCACTTACCTTCCCTTAGAGCCTGCGTGGGAGCCTGCCAAGTACAGTCCAACCTGATGGTTATTCCTGCTGCTCTTATAGGTGATTTCTGAGGCCCTGGACTTCCTGAGGGAGGCTGTACCCGCTCCTGACTTGAGTCAGATGGTCAACAAGCTCTGTGGGATGTCTGCCACAGAGGTAAACGTGCAGTAACTTGGTGTGCAAAGCAATAACAATCTAGTTGTAAAAGCTCATGTGACATTACAGCTCAGGCTGACAGAGCTGTAAGTGACTGACGCCCTCGGGAAAAAAAAAGGAATTGTCTGCACTTTTTTTCTTTTTTTTTAAAAACTTTGGGAAAACAGGGTGTAGTTATTTCCCTTCCTCTCAAACCCCAGCTGGTGCTAACACCTGGACTCAATTAAATGAAAAACCACAAGTACTTTTTACTGCATATTATGGATAAAGAGGCAGCCTGCCCAGTCCTGCTTATACGGCACCTTGTTCTTCCTGTTGTTCCTCTCTCCGTACATGCAAGCAGCCCGTCTGCTCAGTCTAGGGATTTTCCCATTGCACCTGGGCCCACGAAGGCTGAACCACGGCGGGAAAAGGCAGCTCTTTTGCTAGCCTGGCAACTTATAAAGTCACCCTCATTTGAGCTGACAGTGACCCAGTCCCCTTAGGCAGTACCATCCACACTGGCCAGTCTCTGCAGGGTTTAACACTGGGGTAGCAAGGCCTAAAACTCTTTTTTTTTTTTTTCTTCTTTTTTTTTTTTCTGGAGAGGAGGGGAAGATCTGAGTGTTCTTGATGAAATAAAGATTTCAGCATTAGCTCAACCTAATTAGGGAGCAGAGTACCAATGGCTCACCTGCAGGCCAACTGGAGGAGAGCGGGTGGTCAGTTCTGCTGCTCTTGGAACTGCCCCATCTTTTAATGAGATGGGGACAAAAACACAGAGGTGATGGGGACTCTTAGAAAAAAACAACTGGGTGGGTATGGGGCAGCATGGCCTCGGTCTGCACAGGACACAACCGCTTCTCCTCCAGCCCTGCACTCAGCCCAGAGCAGGACACGATGGGTTTCAATCGGGCCTGAAATGCAGCTGATTTTTCTTTCCTTCCCCTTCCACCTGCTTTTGGAAATGACACCAGCTAGTCAAGAAATCCAAGACAAGTCTGGATACACTTGCTGATTACTGCGCTGTGTCCACCTTCATCTTCCATCTGAGCACGAAGGGATACACTTTGGACCTGAGCAGCTCTGTTCGGACCGCGTTCCAGGAGGTCAGTACCGGTATTCCAGTTGGGAGGGAGGGTGGTTTGAGTTAAGCCAGACTGTCGCACTCCCACAAGCCCTAACCATTTGTGTTTCTCCAGCAAGATACTTGCATAAATTAAATAAACAGTTCTAAACTCAAAGATAAGTGAGTTTAGACTCACTAAAGTCTCCACAAAAAATCAGATGGGTCATAAAAGCCTGTGACCAAGAGCAGGGACACAAGATAGATTGTTACGTAATGCTTAGGAGAGAAGGCTGATATTACTTCCCAAGGCAAGCGATCCCACCCTATCTCTTTGCAATGAACTTCGTATCAGTAACTGGTGGAGGCAGCACCAGAATTCCTTTGAGATCTGAAACTCCTAAGGAAAAGGGATTTTGTTGCGGGTCTTTTAAATATTTTCCTTCACAAAAACATGATGTCAAAAATGTAATTCTGGCTCCATCCAGGAGCCAGCGGCAAAGCTACCAACAACAAATTCTGGAAAATTAGTAAACTGAAACCGCAGGAGAAAGAACAGGATGCAGGTGCATCTCCAGCACAGCCCGGGGATAGGCGAGTGCCCAGGCCTGAGCCTAAGTGGAGCTCCCCGGCCAGGGGTGGAGGGTGAGAGCTCCCAGGGAGGCTGCTCAGGACAATCCCAGCCTGACAGTGCACCCAGGGCCCTCGCAGTGGGAGAGGCTGCTCTCTTGAGCAGCCCAGTCCTTCAAGCCTTGTCCTTAGATCAGACTCGAATAAAGCATATTAGGCTTTAGACCTGTTCACACTAACACAGCTGGGGTCCAGACTTGGGTTTCTCTGCTTCTTTACTGACCTCTCCTTTTATCTCAATAGATTGGTGATGTATCATCTGGCTGGACTCTTGGGTACCTGTTGACTCTGAGCAACACTGTCCCTCAGGACAACCCAAGCTTCCTCAAGGGGATCGAACCAGGGATGTGGTCTTTGCTCCTCATCCTCTTTGTTGTGTTGCTCACGGGCGCTTTCATGCGCATTTCATACCGAGTGATGGCCAAGGAAAACAGCTTCAGTAACAGGAACAGCAGTGTTTTCGATGACAACTGACTGCTATTCCAAGACTGGATCTCTTGTGAGAGGGCGGTTAACAAGGTAAAAACAGAAAAGCACAAGTGTACCTCAGTGGGAGATGCCAGGGATTTCCTGCAAGGCTCCAGAGCCTCATTTCAACCTGCTGTTCGACTGCCAGCCCTTGCACTGCTGTGAACAGAGACACCAGATCTTGCTCTGAGGAAACCTGAGACTCCCAGTGGATGGCAAGCAAAATGTTCTCCGAATGATCCGCTCGCACACATCTTGCTTGGACTGCAACTAAGATTACAGGTGTTCACACAATGGAACCATACCCTTGAGCAGTGCTGTAAGCACAACTGTAAAGTTAATAGTGAATAACCTTATTTAGTCAAGAGGTGGTTTCTGGAAGAGGTGCTCTGTCTCTTCTGACTACCAAAGAGGAGATTCCTGCAATATCTCCAGTAATAAAGACTGAAACTGCCTTAAAATACAATGGAATGCAATAGCTAACTTGCTTCCCTGTTCTACAGAAAATATATATATATATATATATATATTTTTTTTTTTCCTGCTACTGCTACAGATCTATTTTTCCATCTTAGCTAGAGTATACATGCCAGCCTCCCTTCCAGGGAATGCTCCTTCTCAGTGATAATCCTTCAAAAGCAATGGTCCTTGCTTGGTGGCAATGGTGCTGCTGTCAGTGTTAGCAGTGTTACGGTAGCAGGCAGAGGTCCCGGTGGACATCAGCACCTTCCTGTGGCAGCACCCTCTCAAAGGAGGTATTAAGAGAATCTCTACCACTGCAGAAAACATACAGAGCACCAAAGGAGAAACAAAAGGCACCGAAATTCAGCTGAGCTCCTGTCTCTCAGCTAAGCCACAGTAACTCAAGATTACACTTGTCAACTGAAACCCTTTCATTGGGGGTTAGATTAATGTGTTTTATCTCACATTTGTTACATCTGGGGACATGCTTGGCTCAGGTTCACCAGTTCACTGAGTTGCACTAAACTGCCTGTCATGCTGACTCCGGAAGGTAAAGCAGTTCATCTAATATTGCCCTTCAGAGAACAGCAGACCCAAGAACCCCAGGTGAATTTCCCAGCCGTCAGTGCAATGATTTCTGTGTTAGATTGCAACCAAAGTTACCTGATGATCCAATACTCAGGATTCCTCTGGGGCTTAGCAGTCATTCCAGCTCCTCTGGTCTGCTCTGCGCAGCTAACAGATGAGGTGCAGCACAAGTTCCCCATGTTACTGTGAAGAAAAGTGGCAGATTTGGACTTTTAATTTTCAGGCTAATAAATGCTTTTACTATAGCATTTCAAGTTCATTTTTTAGATATTTCCAGTGACTTAAACACATAAGCTGTGCTAAAATCCCAAGAAATACCTACATCCAGCTCATTTCAGACTACTTTAACCATGCCTAATTGCTTAGAGATGCAGTGAAGTGCCTTCTAGCATCTTTAAAGCTACCATGGTGCACAAATCCATTCAAATCTGTGTATTAATCCTTTGTGCTACTAATTCACATACAGAAACGCCCACTCATAATATTGGTGGGTGTACTCATAAAGTTTCAAGCCAGTTAATGAAGATTTGGATCTTGCCAGGCAAGTTTGGAAGGGTGCGGAAGCAAATTTAAACAAGCTTCATATTAATTTCTTTGAGTTGCACATTAGATATTTTAATTATATCATGTTATTAAAGAATCTTTAATAGCCTGTCTGTGTTATTCTTGGCAAGAGATGAAGGCAGAGGTTATATTGTGAATACAAAGTGTGGGAGGATGGGGGGTGCTGATTTGCCGCTTTTTAGTGCGGAGCTCTTGTGCTGTGCCCTTTGGGTCCCTGCAGACACTCTCTGCCCACTGGCAGGCAGGTGGCAAATGACTTTGGATAACCTGCCTGTTGGTAGCTAGTTCATGAGACAAGTCAGCATCTTTGATGTGTTGGTTGCTTGAAGAAGGCAGGAGGCATTCAGGCAGGCCTGCATGGAAAAAGCCTGAGGCTGTCAGGGGCACCGGGGAAATTCCTGGGATTTCACTCCTCCCACATCTGGAAATGCTATCATTAAACAGGGTGCTGCTTCTGGGACCTGTGAGCACATAGGAGACCTTGGGGATTCACACTGAGATGGATCTTGCCCGAGAAGGATCCACCTTCACTATCAGAAGTGGAAATAAATCAGATGGTGTGATGGCAGAGCACCTTCATGTCAGTCCAGCACAGGTTTGCAGAACTAATCCCCAGATCACCTGTAGAGCAGAAACCTACTTAAAGGAGCTTTTCACATCCACTCATTTGCTTTGAAACAAGGATAGTTGAAACCCTTTGGTAACAATGCAGTACTTAAATGTGGAAATGATTAATAATAAGCATTTTCTAACTATTCACAAACCTGGTGTTTTTATATACAGTTTCTTCCCTTCTCGCTCCAGGGCAAGCTGTGAGGAAGATCTTCTACAAAATGTCTGCTCATATGCAATTGCAGTTGTGCTGCTGTCACAAAGGATCACTAAGAAAGAAATCAAAAGTATTTGATATAAGCATTGACATCAGAGAGAAGTGAATCTATTTTAGCTCTAGAAACACAGCAGGTTAGCTCACCTGCTGCTGTCTAGACTGGCCTAAAGTTCATATCAGCATGTTTGCAGAGTATATTAACACCTTGTCTTTCTTCCAGGTTATACCATTTCCAAAGTGTCAGGGTTCCTAGTCATGACATCCCGTCCAGATTGCACTTTTTTTTTTTTTTTCCATATTTTTGAGCTGTTCTTGGTCTACAGTTGTGAGCAACTTATTCTTATGGACTCCTATGGGCAGCTAGTGAATTCCCACGTAAATGGAGAGAAATAATAGTACATTGTCCACAACTCAGTTCTGCAGTTCCCCAAACTACCACCATAGGAGAATTGTTTTGGTTTTTTTCTCCTTGTTCTGAGGCATCAAGCTCCCTGGGATCATCAGAGAGCATCCTAAGCCTTCCTGTCAGTACTTGGCTGTAGATGAAGAGCTGCTTTGGAGATTACAGGTATTTCAGCGAACACTTACGATGGATGAATCACTGCACTGGGATTTCGAGCTGCATTCATGCCAAAGCACCAGCACGGACTTCCTAAGATATCTTGGCAAGTCACAAGAAGGTCAAGGAGAACTGAGAGAGAACTTTGCCCAACTTGCCATAACGGATAAGCTCCAGCTTCCCACAGGTAGTGCCAGGACTGTAACTCTTTCTCTCTCCCAGGTATTGTCCTGTCTGTGAGACTTCCATTTTGGTGGTCAAGGGAAGGGCTCTGAAATTCAAAGCATAAACTCATTTAAGCTGTTTGTGGCTGTTATTATAAATAATAGTGAAATCACTTGAAAACCACAACCACTGGTAGAACGAATCCAGCAGGGCATGGGAGGAATGACTTTTAGGATAGCTGGATTTAGAGTCCTATCAGTATTAGTTTCGTTTCGTTCTTATACCATGCTCACGATCACATATCTGAGTATCTTCCAGAGAAACAGGAAGCCATACGATGTTTACATCCTACCTCGTGGACTATCACTCCTACTTCATGGGCTAATTCAGGATACATGGAAGTAGATGAAAACGCTATCAACAGAACAAACCTGCCTGGAAACTGGAATCAGCAAAACGCCCTTTTTGCCAGTTTTCTCTAAAATGGCCTTTCATAATGCCATCAAATACGGAAAAATCAGTGTTTTGGTATTTTGAAAGCGTAGCACATCCAATCTCTCCAACGTGTATGAGCACACAGGAGAGGGCATGCAGGTTTGACCTGGGCTCAGCTCTGCCCTTGCGACTATCACACTTGCAGACAGGCTTCCTGCAGCGCAGGACCGGTTCCAGCCAGGTAAACAGCGAGAACAAGTTCCTGCTCCTCGGTGTGTAATGACAGCGGTTAGGCACAAGAGGGAGGCTTGTTGGAGGCTGGCTTTGCAGCACCTCAGCCTTAGGAAACCACCAATACAATATCTACACAGGCAGTAGCTTGTCCCACTACAGATGGATCTATCAGGAAAGAGGACTGTTTGAAACTTGGCAAGGAGACCTATGATGTGGGCACAGATGAAAGACACTGCGATATATAAAGTTTTCCATGTGTGAGATGTGAGATCAGCTCTTAGCAATTTAAGAAGTGTCATCATTACTGGCCCAGGCTTCCAAGCAGGGAGACGGGCAGCAGCACGTGCGCTGGTGCTTGGAAGGGGGCTCTTGTGGAAAGCAGAGCGAGATGAAGCCCCAGGAGGAAGAGGCCTGCCCTGAGACTGAACTAGAGGGGTCTCTGAGAAAGACCAAGGACTGATAAAACCAACTTTCGTGTGCAAGAAAGCTTACTTTGTTCACAGCAGGAGGTGTTGCCACAGGCCGACCTCCTCATGACTGAATCAGTCACCACTTGAATGGAGGTGACACTGGCAGTGGTTATCTCTGGACAATGTACAGCAGTTAAGCTGTACAACTGGATCAAGGAAATCTGGGAAAACTGTTTCAAGTTCACTGGTATCAAGCATGAAGGAGATGCTGGCAGTTAACGATGAATTTTCCAGTAATCACTGGTAGTGTTTAAGCCTGAGTGCAAGCTCTGAACTAACAGGCCCACGGCCTCCTACAGAACTGAGGGGCTTGGTGGAAATAGCAAACTGAATGGTAGGAGCTCTTTTTCCACACAGCTATGGCTGAACCACAGAGGTCATTATTACAGGAGTTTGTTTACACTAAGAGCTTACATAGCTGCAAAAGGTCATTAGACCAATTCGTGAGGGAAAAAAAGAAAAAGTTCATGAAGGCAACGAAGTAGAATGACTGCTGCATGTGGCTAAGGAATTCCCTGAAGCACTCAGCACACACAGGTGTGTTTCCCCTGCTGACTCTGGCACTGCTCCTGGTCATCACGGACGAGATGCTGGCATGGACAGGCTCACAGCACGATCCCATCCAGCTGCTCCTCTTCCTTCCGCCATAAATCCTACCTTCGCCCCTCACTCACCAGTCTTTGGGAAGAGCCCCTCGTGTTCCAGTCTTTCCTCAGTAGATCCCTAAAAGTAACAAGTGGAGAGAAAAACCAGAATGACCAAATGTCTGCACATGCCCATGTCCTACTTGAGTTCTACCATGCACATGGAGCAGCCCGGCGCTGCAAGCAGGTGCCATCCCCATTCATTCTGCACCGTTCCTCTGCCAAACTCAGGGCTCTACCTGCATGAATGGAATCTGCTCCATGCTTGGACTCCTGACAGTGCCAGCACCATCCTGACCCCACATACTAGGCTCAGTTTAAATAAGGAAACAAACTGCTCTCCAGCTGGTTGTGTATCAACACAGGAATTAAAGCCATTGCCTGCCTACATGGCAAAGGGAAGCACGATCTCTTCATACTCTGCTGCACAAAACAAAACAGTGTTTTAGTAAAAGAGGAACAAATAATACCAGTAAAGAAGGCATCTCCCTGCTGTGCTCAAATTGAGTATATTCACAGCAAAATCTTTTTTCATTTCCTGCTAGAAGTAGCACAAAAAATGCAACAAAAAGTCAAAAAAACCTTATTCAAAAACAGAAATTCAACTTTCGATCTTAGTTTTAATTTTACTACTGTGACTTCCTCTGGGTTATACCTGGGAACTCTGGCCTGGTAAGAGCAGCTCCTAATGTTTCCTACTACCACACTACGGCCATTAATTGAAACAACAACTTAAGGACGGAAAACTCAGAAGCAGCTAAATGAATGAGATACTTCTCACAGCAATATACACAGAAAAAAAAACTCTAAAAAATCAAGTATTGAATAAAATAGATGTCTTCAACAAAAGACAGAGTATGTGAGGCGCATTCCTGCCTAGATGGGCCTCCCCTCCCTGCTATCCCTGTGTTTAGAAAGGCACTTAAGCATTTTGTCCCATCAGGGCCAAGAAGTCCGAGCTTATTTTGTTCTCCTAGAAGCTGCCCGTGGGCAGCGCTCTGTGCGGATGGGTGCCCTTCGAGGGACCGCTGTGTGCAAGACGCGGTTCTCGCCCAGCTCTCCAGCTCGCAGCCTGGCAGGTGCCCGTTGGGATGCGGTGGCCGCGGCCCAGGGATCACTCCTCGCCCCGGCTCCCCCCAGCTGGTCCACACAGAGCCCGGGCGCGCGGGTGGCTGCTTTGCTGGTAAACATGCAAACACATCGCAAACAGAATTCCCATTTGTTGTAGAGCTGGACACAGCTCAGGACAGCAGCACTGGCTGACTGGGCCAGCATTAGCAAAACATGTATTTTGGATGATCATGAAATGCCTCCTAACGCACAGCCTGTGCCAGGGAAACCTGTGCAGATTCAATCCGAGCGGCTGAGCCGCAGCCATCACACAGGGTGTCTGCTCTGCTGCAGGATTCTGCGTAGCATTTTGAGATAGATATAGAGGCCCTAACCGAGCAGGATATTTCCTTTTTTTTTTCTTTTGCGGCCACTAGGGCTGCCGGGATGGCAGCAGTTTGTCACTCTACCCACGACAGAGCAGCCCTGCAAACGGGAAAGGCAGCGAGGGTTGAGCCACAAGCACGGGCTGTCAGAGACAGAGGCTACAGCAGCTCATGATTTCTAATCGAGCGAGGAAACAGATCCTGGGCAGTGATGCACTGCCCTTCTCCTCCTGGCCCAGGCTGAAAAAAAAAAAACCAAAACCCTGTATCTGCATGAAATGCAGCAGCACTTGAATGAGCAGATCTCCTGCTGCAGCCTCTGCAAGGCTGGCCCTGCTCGCCCGTTCACAGCGGCGCTCCCAGCTCCCAACGCCGCTCCGCGCCGCCCTTGCTCACGGTTCTCGCTGAAGCCGCTTTCCTAGAGAGTCGAACACTGCAAGGCACAAAGCACAGGCGAGAATAAGCTCCCTCCTGCCTTAGTGAGAGAGAAGATGGTATTCAAGTTCTACGTTATTCTGAGGATGAAAATTAACTGCATCTCACGCTGCAGGAAAAGCTGTCTCTGCTGATTACTGCGCACCTGAATGAAATCTCGAGCAAGGCTGGTTCAGATCCCCCCAACTGCATTCGATACTTGACACCGAAGTGTTGGGTCTGGTGCTCTAACCCCCTGTACAGACACCAGCAAAAGGTGGCGTCGGGGGCGGAAGGGGGGCACGTTGGAGCTGGCATGGGCTGAATTAACACTTTCCAGCAAACACAGTGTGCACACAGCCCAGACGCAGCCATTCCATGCAGTGTTTAAAATTAGGTGGGATAAATCTGGGCCCAAATGTCTTTGCATGACTCAGCTATCTCCAAGTAAGCTGCATAGACTCCTACGTTCCGGCTTCTAACATTTGGCATAGGCCAACATGCCTCCTCCATCTTCAGGGTCCGTCTGGGCACCCCAGGCTCCTGAGGGGCTCTCCCAGGATCTCTAAAAGCTGCCCGAGACTCCCCTGTTACTCCGGATCCCTTGGGGCCCTTCTGAGGGTCTCTGGGGACTGTGCAGGTGCCTCTGGGGCTCCTCTGGGTGCTCCTGGGCTCTTGCCAACAGTATCAAGAGCTATTTTATTTACATGCTAGCAACAGCAACCACCAACACCCATGTTTTGGGCTGGCCACGGAAGGCCGCCCCATCTCCAGCACCCAAAGCTTCGTGATGTTATTCCTCAGCTCCACACGCACCACGTAAAAAGAACCGAGGTCATGGGCGGCCTTTGCGTGGCTCACTGCCGCACGAAGGCACCAGCCCGAGACGAGCCCTGCTTGCAGAGCCCCATTAGGAGCCTCTTTCAAGTCCCAGCTACATTATGAAACAGTAAGAGATGCTGGGACTTGCAGACCTTGCTGGCATCCTAATGAATATACATAAGCATAAAGGCTGTGCTACAGCAACGCTCACGGCGCGCTCGGAGAAGCTATGACCAACAGATCAACTACCAGATGAACTACCTATGCAGGAATGCGCTAACGAGGCCGGGCTGCACAAGACGAGCAGCCCTGCAGAGCAGGAGAGAGGCGAGGGCCAGGTACAGGAGCCATGGGACGCCGAACTGCCGAATAACAGGGCTGGGGCACAAACAGCCAGCTAAGGACAGAGGTCGTGCCTAGCAGAGAGCTGTTGGGCCTGCTCTACAAAGGCAGACACCGCTCGCACTCTGCATGGTGTTCTGTCAACTTGCTTATCGCGTTCACTTGTGCCCTGCTGTCTCCTGTAGTACGTGGGAAGGCCGAGCCGCGCAGCTCCCTGACCTCCCGGGGCCCTTGCGGCCGAACCCAGGCTGCTCCGTGGGGGGCAGGCCGCCCCTCGGGAGCACCCTCGGCTCCCCGCGGCAGCTTCCCGCGCACACGGCGAGCGCAGAACCGGCCCGCTCGTCCCGTTCCGCCCCGGGCACACGCGGCTCCCGCGGCCCGGCCCGACCCTCCCGCCTCCCCGGAATGGGCGCGGTTGTCCCGGCAACGGCCGCGCGGCCCCGCCGCCTCAGGCGGCTGCGCGCCAGAAAGTGCTAGAACGGCGCCGCAGCCCGCGCATGCGCACAGCGGCTCCCCCGCCCCGCGCCTCTGCAGCGCGGCGGGCGGGGAGCGGGGGGAGCCCTCCCGCGGGCACCGGCGCCGCGGCGGGTGTCCCGGGAACGCGGCCGCGGGAGCGGCCGGGCAAGGGTCCCCCAAAGGCCGTGTCCCTCCCCGCCAGCGCCCCCCGCAGCGAGGAGGCGCGGCCGCCCACGCTGCGCAAAGGGCGCACTGGGCTTCGGGAATGGGCGGCCGCGCGAGCCACCGCCCAGCGCCGGCTGCGGAGTCACTGCGACGGTTACTAGGACACTTCGCTTCCATCCAATCAAATGACGCGAGCTTATGGCCCAGCCCGGCAGCCAATCATGCGCGGCATCAATCATTCAATTAAGCCAATCGGGAGGGCGCTAAGCAAGGAGGGGCGGGCATTTCTGAGCGCCCGTTGCCTAACAGTAAAATCAACAGGAGAAAAGGGCGGGGCAAATAGGAGAGCATAGTTTGAGTGGCAGCGTTTTGACCAATCATTTCGCGCTACTTGTGGAGCCTCGTTATGAGGAGCCAATAGGTGCTGTGGACGGCCGCGTGGGCGGGGAAAAGAAGGGTGCGCGCGCATTCCGCTGCTATATAAGGGTTGGCGGTTACCTCACGCAGTCAGAGACAGTTGGGGGAAGAGCGGTGCTGGGTGAGAGTGCGCTGTGCTGCCGCCATCATGAGGGAGATCGTGCACCTGCAGGCCGGGCAGTGCGGCAACCAGATCGGGGCCAAGGTGCGGGCAGGGGGCGGCGGGCSGGGGGGCGGCGGGCGCGGCCCGGCCCGGCCGCCCCTGACGCGCTTCTCTCCGGCAGTTCTGGGAGGTGATCAGCGACGAACATGGCATCGACCCCACCGGCACCTACCACGGCGACAGCGACCTGCAGCTTGAGCGCATTAACGTCTACTACAACGAGGCCACAGGTAGGGCCCGGCGCGCCGCCGCCGCCCCGCCGCGCCCGGCGCCGCGCCCACGGCCTCTCCCTGTCTTGCAGGTGGCAAATACGTGCCCCGCGCCGTGCTCGTGGACCTGGAGCCCGGCACCATGGACTCGGTGCGCTCGGGGCCCTTCGGGCAGATCTTCCGGCCGGACAACTTCGTGTTCGGTGAGTGCGCGGCGAGCGGGGGCGGGCGGGGAGCGGCGCTGGCTGCGGGGGGGCGGCGAGCGGCGGGGGGGCTAATCCCGGCGCTGCTGCGGGCTCGGGCGCGCCATGGCGGCCCCGCGGGGGCACGAGGTGCCGTTGCTCCTGCCGTTGTCACCGCGCAAATGGCTGCTGCAGCGCTGGCGAGGCAGCGTCGTTTCTGCGTCGCTTGCAGGCGTTTTAGAGGTGCCTCCGCGCCCCCGTCGCTCTGCGCTTGATAAAACGGGAGCATCGCTGTGGCTTGATGCGCCTACGCTCTGCTTGCGAGCAGGAAGCAGTGACTGTAATTTAATATGGAAATGTCTCTCTTCCAGGTCAGAGCGGAGCAGGAAATAACTGGGCAAAGGGCCACTATACTGAAGGTGCTGAATTAGTTGATTCAGTGTTAGATGTTGTAAGAAAGGAGGCAGAAAGCTGCGATTGTCTGCAGGGCTTTCAGCTTACTCACTCCCTTGGTGGTGGCACTGGCTCGGGCATGGGCACCCTCCTCATCAGCAAAATCCGGGAGGAGTACCCAGACCGCATTATGAATACGTTCAGTGTTGTACCTTCCCCTAAAGTATCAGATACTGTCGTAGAGCCCTACAATGCGACCCTTTCTGTGCACCAACTCGTGGAGAACACAGACGAAACCTACTGTATCGATAACGAAGCACTCTATGACATATGCTTCAGAACACTGAAGTTAACTACTCCAACGTACGGTGATCTGAACCATTTAGTGTCAGCAACCATGAGCGGTGTTACCACCTGCCTGCGTTTCCCGGGGCAGCTCAATGCTGACCTGCGCAAGCTAGCGGTTAACATGGTGCCCTTCCCCCGTTTGCACTTTTTCATGCCTGGCTTCGCCCCGCTCACGAGCCGTGGCAGCCAGCAGTACCGGGCTTTAACCGTCCCAGAGCTAACGCAGCAGATGTTTGATGCGAAAAATATGATGGCGGCGTGTGACCCGCGCCACGGCCGCTACCTCACCGTGGCGGCCGTCTTCAGAGGGCGCATGTCCATGAAAGAGGTGGACGAGCAGATGCTCAACGTTCAAAACAAAAATAGCAGCTATTTTGTTGAGTGGATTCCCAATAACGTTAAAACAGCGGTCTGTGACATTCCACCTCGTGGCCTCAAAATGTCGGCCACCTTTATTGGTAACAGCACAGCCATCCAGGAGCTCTTTAAGCGCATTTCCGAACAATTTACTGCCATGTTCCGCCGAAAGGCTTTCCTGCACTGGTACACTGGCGAGGGCATGGACGAGATGGAATTCACAGAAGCTGAGAGCAATATGAACGACCTGGTCTCTGAGTACCAACAGTACCAGGATGCCACAGCTGAGGAAGAGGGGGAGTTTGAAGAGGAGGCTGAGGAAGAGGCAGAGTAAAAACCCTATGCAAACGAACACCTGTAAATTTTGTTTAAAGCTGTATGAACTCTTTCATTCAAAACTTCTCCTGTCTGTGTTGTGCTCCTCTTCCTGTTCCAAAGTCACTTCAAATGCTGTACAGGCATCATTAAAGTTTTTTTTCCGCAGTGCACAGGCTCGTCTCCTCTGTTCCTTTTGGAAAGCTTTGCGGGTGCTGTTCCCAAAAGTAAGAGCGTAGCTGTGGCGGAGGGCTGCAAGACACAACGGGGGGGATGTTGAGGGGGCACCGTCCGTCTGCCCCGTGCCCTCGGCAGCCCCGCTCCTAACAGGGTGAACGCCTGTGGCTGGCGGCACTGGGCACAGCCTGCACGATTTGCAGGGAGTTGTATGAAATAATAGCAGCGTATTTGTTAACAGCCCTCCTGGCAGCTGGAGCTACAGTTAACAGCAAGGATGAAAGTCCCCTGTAAGGGGCTAAATTTAGGTACCTGCGTGGGGGCTCCTATTACAGGTGATGGGGCAAGCGTCCAAAGTGAAGCCGGACCTGGAGAGCCCAGCAGCTCTGCAGGCTGCAGTGGAAGCTCCAGCTAGGACAGAGGGGCCTGGAAGCCGCAGCTGAGCTCCTGCGTGGAGCGTGAACTGGAATAGGCCAGTCCCTGCTCTGATAACGTGGGTATTTCTGGAAGATAAGCCAGCCTCACCTAGGGCTGATCCTCTGCACCCTTTTAGCAGCATAAACCTAGCAGAGAAGCTCTGACTTCCTGATCCGGAGCTCTCCATAACAAGCTTGTTCCCAGCTACAGCTGAGGTCAAAAGTAATGCAAAAGTATTTAAGCCACCAGAACATCCCTGACAGAATCAGATTTAAGCTAACATCTAGACATCTCAGGTAGTCTATTCAGAGGTTGTATAGCTGCTGGGCTTGGTTAGTGCAGACCTGAGCCCAAGTGACACCATTTTGTTACTCGAGAGCGTTACCAGCCAAACAAACAGTCACTATGGAGACAGCCGGGCTTCGGAGTTAGCTAAAGTGACACAGGGAAAGGTTCGCTGGGAAGCGGCTGAGCCAGGCGGGAGCAGCGTGCTGTCCTGCTGGGGAGGTGCTGAGCAGGGCTCTCAGCTGTGAGTGGTAGTGGGTTACATTTCTAGAACTAAAATAACATCTTTTTCCAGAGCTGTTCATCATAGTTAAGACAAAAAGCTATTGAGTTGATAGGAAATTACTTTCAAAGAGAATCAGGTGACCAGGGTCAAGCCTACATAGGGGGATACTTGTGAGTCAAAGATGACAAAAAATTTTTTTTTTTTTTTTTTTTGAAGCATTATGTAACGCTTGATCAAGTGCTGGGGTTTTGTGTTAAAACTGGTTTTTGGGGTCCCCCCTGCCTTTCACCACACAGACCGGACAGGTGCCATTACACGGTTACAGGTGCCATTACAGCAGGATTTGGTTTTCCTGGAGCTCCAGGGCAGCTGCAGCTTCCTGGTTCAGTGTCTCCATCCACGGAAGGAGGAATGTGATGACAGAGGTTAGGGGGGATTGGTTTGTCCTGCCCCCTTTTCCTACACCCAGTACATGACACTAAATCGCACCATTCCTCCGGGCTGTTGTTGTCCCAAAGGGACTGTTAGAGGGGTCGAGCGGAAGCTGCAGGACTCAGTTCCAGGCAATCTCTGAAATTCCTTGGATTGCGTTAGCAATGTTGAAGCATTTTAGTCCTACAGACCTTCCCAGATAAATCTTCTTCTTATCCTCCTTCAAGGACTTACCAGCTATGCCTAAACCTTAGTTTTCTCTCTACATAGCTTTTCCTAAATGAACCTTCGTGCTGTCCTTTGGTGCAAGTTACTACAGTCGTAATTCAACATTCTCCACTCAGCTCAAAATCAGTTTTGGCACCAGTCTGAGTCCAACCTGCCATGATACTCATTTCTCCCCCCTTTTCTCCCAGTTCTTCCCTGATTTCTCATGTTCGCTACCATTTTCCTTCTGTTTATTGCATCAAGTACCAATGAGCTTAGGTTTCATTATCGCTAAACTTTCCTCTTGCTGCCACATTACTGACACTCTACACTTTGCCCTCTTAGTCCAATATCAGTTGCTCATTTGCTGAAATTTCACTCTGCCATATTAATTCATGCTTTCTCTCTAGTGCAGAATTCTCCTTCAGTGTTGACAAAGCAGCTTTACTCGCACCTTTTTACTAAAACTTAGCAATGACAGTGATGAGGTAGACAACACAGGGAAGCCACCACCTCTCTTGATGGCCAACATCCTTTCACTGCAGTTCACCTGGTCTCCCAACCTGTTTGTATTGCCAGTCTTTCACCTTTTATCAACTGTTGGAACAGAATTCGCTTTCTTCATGAAGACGTCGTGATGTGTACCATAAAGCAGGTGAGCTACCACTGAGCACCCTTCATTTTGGGGGGGATTTGCAACTGGAAACTGCAGAAATGCTCTGCAGAAGTCCAGGTTCATAACAAGGACCGGGGCAGGGGGGGTGTCCCTCTGTGGGAAGGCAGGGACGAGTCCTAGTCCTTGGCAAAGGCTGAAAAAAAATTTACTTCCAGTATGGAATATTTCAGTGACTGCTCTCTATAGCACTGTTGCTACGTACAACAACAGGACCACTTACAAGAGTAATTAGTATCAGGGACTTTTGTTTGCCTTGGACTGATGAACTTACTTGGTACAAAGCCCGTATAGAAAGGGATCAGTCCAGCGCTGGTGTAAATTCTGTTGTTCGGCCAGTATGACTGCGGTAGTCTCTTGCCAAATTCACTAACTGGGTTTTGCAGCAAAAACTGGAATAAAAAAAAAAAAAAAGTATTGTTCATTTTACAATGTAGTTTGGTTACACAACTAATGTGATTTTTGTGTGACTGGAAATATTTAAGCTAACGCAAAGCAGTTCTCTTACCAGTGCCCTTCTCCAATGGGCAGCTGCCTGCGGCCTCCCTCCTGCCCCAGCCGCCTCTGCAGCGGTGGGGCTGGGGCCGATGTCCCCGCAGGAGCCCCCGCCAGCTCCCTGCCCTCAGATACCTCCAGGCTCTCTGCAGCCTGAACCGCCTCCGTCCCTTTGGGCAGCACCCGCCAGGCCCGAGGCCTCATGCCCATAAGCCGGACTCAGCGGCAGCCAAGGCGCCTGGCTCTGGCGGTGACTCTGCACCTCAGCAGCCGCGTGTTCTGACCCCTCCACCCGGCGGGACCCACTGAATCCCAATCACAGCCGTGAGCCGGTAACTCCCAGGGCAGAAGGAACCGGGAGGCCTCGGGAGCGTTAGCTGGAGGGCGGCTAAACCGTCCTGCCCGGGGCAGCTGCCTGGCTGCAGGGGTGAAGCGGAGATAAGGGGGGGCCTGAACAATGCTGCCGGTCCGCAGATCACCCACGGGGCCAGTGGAGCTTCCCTGACCCGGAACGTGCCCCGCTCGGCAGCAGAGGGACAGCGTCCGTGAGCCCGAGCGAGCGGCTGGGCCCGCGAACCGCTCGCCCCGTGGCCTGGTTCCTGCATCGCCCTCAAAAGCGGCACTGAAGCAAGAGGATTTCATTATCGCGCCTGAGCTGGACGCCGAGAAAGGCTCCACGGCACTTCCTAGCGCGTAACCCAGGGCCACACAGATTTAGGGCAGAAGATGCACGGTGGCAGCCAGAGCCATCTCAGAACCGCCCCGGGAATGTGCAGCGTGCTCCTATTCCTCGCGCTGCGGAGGAGCCTGCGAGCCGGCGACTCCGGCACCGCGGGAGCCACCGGCCGCGCTCACGGGGGCACAGGGGCAGGAAGGATTTGCAAAGAGCACATTTAGGTTTGATAACATCTAGGCCTGGTTCCACTGGCTGTGTTTCAGTTTCTTTCATGTGCGCAGGGAAAGCTAAGCAAAGCAGCAGAGGGGAAAACTCAGCCAAGCCAGGAGGAGCCACCAGCAAACACCAGCCCTGCTGCTGAGTCATCTACAGCCGCCTGAGCTCCCGAGCCGGAGAGCTGCCTCTGCCTCCCGCTTTCTTCTACATCCTTCCGATTTGCTCTGGGACGAAGGCACCGACAGTGAATCCCAGTGACAGGGAGGGGTAGGGAGTGTCGTAGCCCACCTTTAAATAGCCGTGTGTCCGAGCCCATGAATCCTGGCTGGCGCCAGGCCAGCGGGCTCCCGCACGGCGGTGATTTCCCTGGCTCCCTGGGCAGCAGGAAGGAGCCTGCAGGGCTGGGTGCAGCCTGGCGCCGGGGCAGGGAGCGCCTCTGTTCACACAGGAGGTCTGCGCCGCATTGCACGGCGCGGCTTACAGGGAGAGGAGCAAACTGTTCTACATGCGTATCACTGCATCCTTCCCAAAGGGGGAGAAGGGACAAGATTATGGACCCTTCCAAAACACGTCATCCTAATAAACAGGAAAGCATTGCAACCCACAGATGGCAAAATACTCATCGGGGCAGCCCAGGCAGCCACCCACCACTACCACCAGGTAGGGAAGTGGTAAGGGGAATGCAGATAGATGGATCCTGTGCTTCTGCATCCAGTGCAACATTTAAATTGCAAGGCAATAACTTTCCCTCAATAATACTTAATCTCTTTGTGAACTAATTTATCCTCCCTTAATGTCCTAAGGAGATGAGTTACACAATATAATTGCCTATGATATTTTTCAACATATTACTTAATAGGATTTTATTTTACTTGCACTTATAACCCCAGTTCTAATACAACTAGTGTAAACGAAGCCACTTTCAGGGCTGCAAGGGGCTCAAGACCAACATGACAGTGCGGAAGGGAAGTCTGGGCACGTAATCTACCTGATTTCTGTCAAATTCATTCATGGCATCCTTCACACCCTGGATGTAGTTAACGCCGGTGATCCAGGCGTAGCGGGGTATGTAACCTGTGTAGCCTTCAGGTGGAGAGAAGAGAGAACAGTTTCTGCTGAAAAACATGTAAATCATATAAGGATCAACCAAGCTGTAAGTGGGAGAGGCTGGGATAAATATAAAACCTTGGAAAATTATAGAGAGGAAAACTTTTAAGCTTTTCCATCTAAATTGTAAAATAAGCTATTTCACATGCAAGTCCTATTTTGAAAGTCTTTTCTATGGACCTAATGAAAACTCTATGAAATAGAGAAAGGAAAAAAAAAGAAAAAAAGAAAACCCTGGGACTCCTTACTCGGGTGCCTAGTCCTGCTTTGCTCAGTCTGAAATACGTTGCCCTGAGATGGCCGCGTTTGCGCAGCTGCAGAGCAGCCGAGGGCCCGGCCGACGCGCCACGTGCTCGGGGAAGGGCGGCGCTTGCTCCCCACACGCCGAACAGCGCCCGGCCCAGGGGCAGGGGAGAGGCCGCTTCGTGTATCTGCCATAGCGCCCGTGACGTTACTCACTGGCTCAGCAACTCAGAAACCTGCCGTGTTTCTAGGAGAGAAGCTGCTCCCGCTACGGCAGCGGCGGTTCATCCAGCTACCGGTGCCAGTGCGGAGCACGTCCCGCTCTCCCCTCCAGCCCTCTGGAGGGTCCGCTGGCAAGAACTCGCTGTTGCAGGGACAGGGCGACCCTTCCGCCGGCCCACTGGCACCCACGTCTCAGCATAAGACCCACTGGGACAACAGTAGCACCAGAAAGCGCTGTTGCATCGAGAGGAGCTGGGGCATTTTCCATCCCAAAGCGCTCGGCGAGCTGGAGCAAGTGACAAGCGTGTCCTTTGGGTGAGGGGACAGGACGATGACCCTTTCCGTGACGAGGCGGATGTGTGCCGTACGCAGCCTCCCTTTACCTGACGTGGCTTTCTGCCGGATGGCGTGCGGGACAGGCAGCCTGGGGAAGTGCTCGCAGCTCTCTGCGTCCGCCCATTCGGCCACCGCTGGCACAGTCGCACTTTCAATCTTTACAGGCTCGAAATAAAAGCAGAAGGAGAATGAGCAGCAGTGAAATCCGCTCCCTCCTTTGACACCACAAGGTAACTTGCTGCCAGAACCTCTTGCTCACACTCACCATCTCTTTCTGGCTTTACACCAGGAGCCCAAAGAATTTCTGTTGAAGTCAAATCACTAGACAAGATCTGTGTGTGCAGAGCTCGGGCAAAATACCCCAGGGAGAACAAGGGATGCTTTTGGTGCTGAGCTCCTTTGAAAATCTCTCCCACAAGATATTTCTTAGAGCAAGGAACAGGAGTGAGTGTTCTTGGGATTTACTTCCAATCCAGCTTTCGACTCAGTACGTCAAATCTCTAATCTCTGCCTTTGGTGGATTTGCCCGGCCCCAGCTCACTGTGACACGACAAATGCTATCTTTGGGTCCAGGAGAAATGAGGGGATCAGAAGTGTTGTGCCAGTGTCATGCTGGCTGTGCTGTGTTGCCCAAGGAACTGGAGCCCCATGTGGTTTTACCGGGTCAAATCACAGTGCTTGGGTCACACAAGGAACACTGAACAAACTGGAGGGAATCCCGGTGAGTCTCGAGAGCAGTTAAGAGACCAGCACCGCCAGGTAACGAGAGGTGCAGGAACACTCTGGTGGATCTAAGGGAACATCAGGGGGCTGGGCTGTCGGGCCCTGCGAGAGGGAGCACGAGCCTAGCGCGAGGGCGATGGTGGTTTCAATAGTACAAGACCTAATGACCAGAATGTGAAGCTAAAACACAGACAAATGAGGAACTAGGCCATTTTGATTAGGAAGCACTATCAACCAGAACAACTTCCCGAGGACGTGGTGGATTTGTTACCGTTACAGACGTCACCGTGAATTTGTCACAACCCTACAAGATTCTTTCGGCTTTCTCCCCTTGCCAGACCCGTAGGAGATTCCCTCTCCCCTCCCTGTGTGCCGAGGGAACCTTCCCACGGCCCCGCACCACGCGCAGAGCACCCACCCACCCCGTCCGCAACACCCGCCTTGTCACCCCAACCCCGCTACCTGCTCCGTCTCCGGGATGCGGGGCAAGCTCCCTCCGTGCGCGCAGGCGTGGGGAGGTGGGCAGGGAGCCTGGGCGCCGCGCGGCGCGCCGGCCACCGCTATGGCCGGCAGCCGCCCCTCTCGGTCGTGCGGCAAGGCCGAGCGCCGCGGTGGGATCTCCTGCTCGTACTCGTAGGCCAGGCGCAGGCCGGGGTGGCCGGGTGGGCGCGTGCGCGGCCGGGCGGGCTCCGCAGGGCTCGTGTGTGGCCGGGCAGGCTCCATGGGGCCGGTGTGCCCCCAGGCGCCGCGCTCTCCCACCGGGCCCTGCCGCGGAGCCGGGGTGCTCGGCTCGAGGGCCGTGCCGGGTGCACCCGCTCCGGCCGCGCCGTCCCGCGGGGAGAGGTCCCCTGTGAGAGAGAGAGAGGCCGAGTCAGGGCAGGGAGCCGGCGCAGCCCCGCGGAGGCCGCTCCGGGCCCACCCGGTCCTGGCCGGAGCTGTCGGGCTCCTCGGCCCCGGCCGGCCATCTCGCCTGCGCACAGGAGCATGTGGAGAAGTTCAGTCTGTTCAACTCGATCTAGGCCACGTCTAGACCGTAAAACATTCATGGCTTCCCCGCCAGCGAGCAGGAAGGGAGGGACAAGGAATAAAACCAAACACTTGGCTCCCTTGGGCTGTACCCGTACCGCAACATGGCCCCTGCCACAACAAATGAGGGATTTGCTCACTGCCTGTGCTACCATTAGTGAAGGAAAGGGAAAAAGAGAGGAAAGGAAGATAAAAAGGGAAGGAAAATCCTCGGTAGCCAGTGGACACTGTGAACGGGGCAGCGCCCGGCGCGCTGACGCTCTGCAGGGACGGCCGCGCTGGGCAGCTCCAACCTGCCCCTCAGACCAGCCCGGGACACCTCTGTGGAACCATTGATCCTGCCCCTGTAACAACCTTTTCCACAGTGTAAAACACATGAGCACACCAGTCTGCTCATTTTTTAAACAAACCAAATTCCTTCAATTTTTGTTCTTATAGGTCAGGGTTTTTTCAGCCCTCTGACTACTCTCTCCCCAAACTCCTCTTTGTTTACATCTGTATTACAGGGCAAAGCCCCACAGGTTGGGCACTATCCTCCAATTAAACCCCCAGCTTCAACTGGACAACGAAGCCAACAGAATAACTACCTATCCCATCCCAAACAGCCTAACGTTTGCAAAAGAACAACTGGTTGATATTTAGATTTGGGATCCTTCTATAGTGGTATTGTCAAGTGCTATTCCCAGGTTTGTAACAAGGTTTTTTTTTCAAGCTCCTGTACAAGTTTTATAAAAACTTTACCTTATTATTTCTTTAAATTAGTACTGCGAATTTACAATCTACTTCTCTCTTCTGATCCAGCAAGTCAGGTACTCCACCAAAAGAAGAAATGAAGTAGCTGCGTGCTTGAGAAACCCTTCCTGGCTCTTTATTACCTTAGTTTGTTCTTGATTTTGTCACTTTATTGATTCAGAGGACTGCTGAATAAGGCACAAAATCAAAAGCCACAAAAGCCTTCTCTGTTTGGCAGAGGAAGACACGTGCAATCAGATCGATCTCCTCCCAACAACGCGAGTCGATGCGGAGGCTGGGACTGTGGCAAGGAGCTGATCCTGACCAGTCCTGCAGCTTGCTGAAGGAAACGCCGCGTGCTGGAGATGGGGCAGGGAACCAAAACCAGCAGGGAAGCCCATGGAGACCCAGCATCGCCGATGATATCAAGCAGATGAGCTCGTTATCGCTCCCAGAAAACACACCCGTCTGGGATTCCACTGAGAACAAACCAACACCAACAAGGGCCAACAGCAAACAGGTCTTGACAAACATTCCTGAGGCTCCGAGTTTGGTAAAGGCAACTACACCAGTAGGATGCATGGCAGCGAGATGTTGCACCTTTGTAACACCCAATATTCTTAAAAAAAATATCCTTATTCCAATATCCTTAAAAAAAGGAGTGCCGCCTGATATTAATAAAGTCTATGATGGCAGGATAAAGGACTTGTTCTGACAGCTCTATAGCAAAAGCTCTCGGTGAAGACGTTTTAGCAGATTCAAGTGCTTCTCTCAACCGCTTTCTTCAGCGTTTTCACCAACAAGAAATAAATGAAATCAAAGCTGCAAGTGCTCATGTGTGACAAAGGTTGACAAATATAAAATATTAATGAAGACAGGATAATGATAGAGAGCAACTAGGTCAACTGGTTAGTTGGGTCCATTCAAACAAACTACATTTTAATTCAAGGGGAAATGCAAATCTAGACATTCAGGAATAAAGCTAAGAAGCTCCACCTGCATAAAGGAGTCCCGTACCTAGACCCACACTAGCAGAAGCACCAGAAATTAGGAAGAGAAGGGCACACGAGACACAGGCAGAGCTGAAGCAGAGGCAGCAAATTCCCCGGGTGAGCAACTTCGCACTTAAACTGCTCCTCAACGCTGCTGCCCTGGGGTCCTCGTTCCCTTGAGAGCTTGGATGGCTACATGAGAAACACGATGCTGCTGCTGCTGCCCTGGAGATGGCCCTGGCTGAGCGCAGCCCCCCTGCGCCGGGGAACCCTGTGACTTCACTTACAGAACCTGCTGCTTTGCTGAAAGCGCCAAGACCTGCCCCCGCTCACCTGGATGCACGGGGATATAATCCGGGACCTCATGCCTGGTCCCCGTGAAGTCCTCTATGAACTTGAGCTTGGGCAGCGGCGCCAGCAGCGAGTGAGGGCTCTTCCGCACGCCAGGATCCGTCAGCAGCCGGAAAGTGGTTTTGCCAAAGGTTTCTCCAAACTGGTAGCTGAACTGAGGCACAAAGCCCTCATAGCTGAGGAGGAAACCAAAAGGAGCATTGACTCGTGGGACACTTGAAGGGGTCCTCCAAGTACAGAAGTGTTTAACTGTCCCATGCAGGAGCAGAGCTGTGTCCGGCACCGCGGCAGCCGCGCGGGGCCCACGCTGCCCCTCGGGCTCCCGCACGAGCCGGGGCTGCTCAGCGACGGCGCCCGCAGCAGCCCCTTCCATCGGGACACTGGGAAAACGTCCTGCGGGAGCATGGCCCTGAGCTCGGCCTTCGGAGAGTCTCGGGGATGGGCTAAGAACACGCCTCAATTGGAGATCTCGTCATCACTCTGAGTTATAAAACACAGGGAATGGCCGGCAATTTTCAGATGTCTCTTGTTCAGGATTAAAATTCAGATAATGAAAATAAAAAAGTTAACCTCCCCCCAGTCCTGTCCTCTATCCTCCCAAGGAAGCCCAGGCAGCAGATGGGAAGAGCCGCGCGGTGGTCGCGCTCCCTTGCAAGGAGCCCGTCCCGGCCCTGGGAAGCAGGGCAGGTCCCCACCTTGTCCTTGTGCAGACCTTTGAGCAGGGCCTGAAAGGACGTTTGGGCACAACCGCCCCTGTCCTCCCCCCCAAGGGAGCCAAGGCCCTTCACAGCCGGCCCACCCACCAGCTGGGAGCCTCACACTCCAGAGGCATCCCTTAAACTCCCCTTTTCTGAAGGTAAAGGGTCTAATCAACTCGGCATCCAGGTCACCCTGGTCTCTGGCCCAGACAGCTGCTTTCCCGGGATGCCGATCCCTCCTTTTCCCTGGGCTCAGGACAGACAGAGAAGGTTTCAGCTCCCCCATAGCTAACACTGGAGAAGGAGGATGGGGCCGTGGGGCCTCAGGAGAGGTCTGAGCTCAGGTCTGAAACAGAAGCTGTGACTGCTCCCACCCTCAGAGGTTTCCTAATGGGAACGGGGTTCCTCCGCTGAAGGAGGAAGGCAGAGCTGCCAGTTGCAACACAGGCGGAATCAGGGATCCTGCCGCGTACGCGGGGAACAGGCCGGATGATGCACGAGTGTCATAAGATGATGACTAAGTACTTTCCCTGCCAAACGCAGGGAGCAGCGGCGAGCCAGGGGACGCCTTTGGAGCTGGCGAGCTCCCCGCTTCGCGGGGCAGGCTCTCATAGCACGCGCTGCTGCAGCGGCTCCGCCGCCCGCCTCTCAGCCACCTTCCAGTACGTCCTGGAGCGTGAGGAAGCCACGCGAGGAAGCTGGAGCCAGGCGAGAGCGTAGATGACATAGCCAAATAATTACAGGCTTCTCGCAGAGATTTTAATTGTGAAGAAAATAATGGTGGGGCTGAGAAAGGACTCAATATATAAGCAATTAAAAGCAGGCTAATCTGAGGAGCTCAGGCGAGTCAGTCTGGGTTTATGGGGAATTGATCTGCCCCATAATTGACTTACGAGTTCTGCTGTTGAAAGCCGTGGAGCTCCAGCAGCAGACGTGGTCTCCTACATGCTGTGACTTTGTTGCACATAGTATTTCCATAAAGATAAATTATTTACCTTTTTGATACAGTTTCCACCATTTCTGTAGTCCAGGCTCATCCGTTTCAGTCACAGACCTCAAAACTCACACAAGCAGCAACCAAGGAGGCGCCTTCTCAAGCCTGGGCCTAATTTCACTTTTCTATTACCCAACCCCATCTTCTCCTCCCTCATCACTCCCCGGAGTGCCACGTAAACCCGCTCAGCCTTCGTCCTGGCCGAGCAAGAGGCCGGGTCCTCCGCCCAGCCCTGACGTGGGGCGGGCAGGAGGGCACCGGGACAGGACCCACCTCGTGCATTCACCAGGTCTCCTCGTGCTGTCTCCTGTCCTACCCGTCCGTTTCTCTTCCCAACACTTGAGTGCCGCGCGGGCATTTTCAGGCTCGAGCACCTGAACCGTGCACAGAGCGATGCTCCTGCCCAGCCGCGGGGTCTTCCCCAGGCCTCCGGGGGGATGCTCCAAGCCAACGGGCAAGACCAGAGAGAAGCCGGGGCAGAACTCGGCCTCTTTGGGTCAAGGTTCCTCCTCACCCCGTCCCAGGATGGAGCAGCAGCCTGAAGAGGAGCAGGCCCCACTGCTACAGTTTGGTATAAGGGCCTTAACCTTCCCAGTGCAAAAATGAGGAAGACTCGGAGCTGCTAGTCTATGGAAAAGGATGCCCAGCCACGGCACCCACTGTGTCATTACCACCACTAGCACACACGTGGTCTAGTGTCACGTCATACACACCTGGGGCAATGCACAACTGCTGAAAAAGAAGTTCCCGCCTTGCTCCGTATCGCAAGGTCTTTCAGACGCCTTTCAGAGTGAGTCGCAGACTCAAGTACCCCAAGGAATTTTGGACCAGAGACTTGTGCTGCCTCTGGGGCTACCTGGCCCCTTCCAGCTGACTTCCGTGGGCGCTGGAGACCACACGTCCCCGCACGGATCACCAGGGGATCTCACTGGCATCTTCTCTCCATTTCGCCGTGAAATGTATCTGCTAATTTCTACCTCATTTCTCATCTTTTAACTAGTAGCTTAGCTACCCACAGCTTCATTTCCCTTTCCAAAGGCCTTTAGAGCAGGTTTTAAGAAAAACCAACTGCACAGTAACTAGACGACCATCATCCCCATACTCACTAACTTCTTCAAAGATACTGGATAAAGCTGGGAGTAGCTACTCCCTATCTATGTCATGTTTATGCAAATATTTACTCATTTGAATTTGCTCAAAGATCATTTAAATGGGCAGTCACTTCTCTGAATTGCAGCACCAGTAACATCTGGCTGCATAAAAGCAGCAATAGAAGAACCATTTTAAAGTTCCCTCAACGTGCCATGGCCCAGTCTTTATTTGCTCCCTACTGCAAGGCATTATTTCCCCACGCAGGTCCCCAGAGCCCTTTCTCCTTCCCTGCATTTTTATATGAAATAAGTAATAATATTCAAAAAGGAAACAAAAAAGCTGAGTCACGGATAGCAATGAATCCCGGGCCGATCTCTCCGCTCCGGGAGCGGGCGGCAGTGCAGGCCGGGACGGAGCGCTTACCCCGGGATGTAGCGAGGGTCGGGAGGGAAGAGGCTGGTGCCCCTCGCAGCTGCCATGGCCGCGCGGCTCGTGGGCGCCGGGCAGCAGAGCCCAGTTGCCCAGACGACCTCTGTGATGCTGGGATGGCCGCTGCTCCCAGTGGCAACTGCACGCTCGGGTCTCCCAGGGTACAGCTGCCACGCCGCCACCTGGAAATCTTGGAGGGGGGAAGCTGCCATAATATCCAGACGCTTCCCCAGGCTCGCAGCCCTCGGGATGAGCACACAGACATTCCCCTGAGCAGCCACCCCAGTGCATGCCCACCCGGAGCACCCAGCGAGGTGGCGCAGCCCGTGCGCCAAGGCCAGCGCCACCCGAGGCCAGTGCGTCCAGGCGCGCTGGGCGCCCCGTCACACGCTGCCCTGGAGGAGATGCCAAGCCCAGGGTCGTTAGGCAGTGAAGGCACCCTGCACCTCCAGGCTTCCAGGCCCCTCGTGCCGCAGGGCTCCTGAACCATCGCCGGCCTCGGCGCCGTGCGCGTTGCACCGGAGCTTGGGGACTGCGATACCGGCAGGGAGCCCGGCCTCCACAGAGGCCGGGGGTGCAGGGGACACTGCAAGCTCCTTGAGTGGCCTCGCAAAGCCTGGGCCACGGGGCCAGTGGGACGAAGCCACCAGAGCTAAAGCTTCGAGATACCCCCCACTTTCTGACAGGTACTTGGGGATTCCTGCCACCAGTTTCTGCCCAGGCTGTATCAGAGCAGACAAAACGCTCTCCTGCCTCTTGCAGAAGTTCTGAGAACAGGATTTCTGGCCTTAAAAATAGCAGAGCTCTGATTTGTGGCAGACCTTCACCAGCAGCCCCGGGTGAGCAGTGGGGCCAGAGGCCGTGAAGGACACGACAGCTTTGGGTGTCCACAGCAAGGGGTCGTGGGGCACAAACTGCACCTGGGAAGGGTGTGCTGGGCAAAGGCACCCTGCCCCACAGAGGGCCAAAGCCCTGGCCCAGGGAGCTGGCAACATCCTCAGCCCTGGAGCTCTTCCAGACTAATCTAGACAAGGCCCCTAAGCCAAGGCTTGCAGCTTTCCAGCCAGTTCTGCTTTTAGAGAACTGCATTAGAGACCTCCAGAGGTCCCTGCTCTCCCCAAGCTGAACCTTCCTGGAATGTAACATTAACAAGGAAAAGCTTGCTTACGGAAGTGCTGCATTCCCCACGGCACGGCAGCCAGGGCCGCAGGCTGGCGCGGGTCCCTCCTCAGCTCGGGAGGGTGGCCCAGGCCCAGCTTCCCAGAATCTCCCAGTTTGCTCCTTTCAATGCCCAACGGCTGCTAATGAGGAGGTTAAAGCTTTACCACAGAGCTACTGAACATCAATCCCAAATGCTTGTACTCACTGCAGACACCTAGGCAAGAAAAATAAAGAGGCAGAAATTCACTTTTGTCAAGGTTATCATTAGGATTTATTGATAAGAAAAACTTGGTAGGTCAACATTTCAATGGAGGAACAGCACGTCCTGGCACCACAAGTCCAAAGCCCGTCCAGGTGAAGTTACAGCACGTGGGCATCTCCGAACTACAAGGCACAGACCACTCGCACGGCTGCGCATTACTCAGGTACCTTCTGTGAGCAGGGATGGAAAGGTCCCAGAGACAAACCCGACGCGTGGGTAGCAGCCACCAACACGTCACACCACGCACGTGGACACAGGCCGCAGCAGGAACCACCGCTGGCTTTCGCTCCTCTCAGCTCCTGATGTCAGAGCACATCTGCTGCAGCGAGTCACCCAGGGCCACGCGGAGAAAAACACCTAGTTGGAGGGCGAGATGCACCCGACCTCCCGCGGGGATGAGATGACTCTGCTCTGGCTCCTTCCCAAGCGAAGGGAGCTGCACAGAGCAGCTCGGCTGGAGACCCCTTGGTGCAGTGAGGCGAATCCCACCTCAGACCTCAAACGTAACAACCTGGACATGAGCCGTGCAGAGTGAGCTGCAACGGGGCCCCTTCACCACAGAACCTGTCCTGCTTGGGCAGCAGAAACGACAACACGCACGGTCCTGCCAACTCAGAAATAGTCTTTCTTTGAATCTAACAGTCTTAATTACAACTGTTCCAACATTCCTCCTCTCAGCAGCGTCCCCAGACAGAGCTCCTAGCGCAGCCAGCCATTCACACCCTGCTTGTGGCCAAGACAGCGGTTATCTTTACCAGCTTTGCCCTGCATTGACACTGCAGTGCCTGCTGTCAGAAAAGCCAAGTGCTGAACTTTCATCTTCTCCCAGCTTATGAAATATCGGGGTTTGGTCCTCAAGTATCTTGTCATACAATTAGGGACGGTCTAGCAGAGTATTCCCCAGGAGCCTAACAAATCCACAATGGATTTTACACAGGAACAAGCTGAATTCCCTAACTCATGTCCAAGGGGTTCCAGAGCCCTGCAAAAGGAGCCGTTTGTGGTTTAATGGAAACAAAAACCTCATTGGCTGACCCGGGATTGTCTTGTTGGAGGGGAAGCATCCAGAAGCCGTGTGAGCCCCGAGCAGAAGCCAGGGGCTGCAGTGGCCCCCGTGCCGCAGGTGGGCGGGCCGGGAGCCGCAGGGAGCACCGGGACCCGCACCCTGCGGCACAGCCCCGCCGCGGTGCCAGGAGCCAGGGCAGTGCCGCCCGGATCCTCCTCCTCCTTTTCCTCCTCCTCTCCCTCCTCTCCTCTCCAAAGGCAAGTCCCTCTGCACGGGTAACAGCTTCGACTGAGAGGTCTCATATTAACGGGTACTTATACAGGATTAATTGCACATCAGTCCATTGTGGCTACAAGTTCATTAGGCTAATAAATCTACATAGTGACAGTAGTACAGTATCAGCTACTTTTCAATACAAACTCCCTACCCTAGTCTTTATTTGTAGGTCAATAGAAGATCTACTGTAGCGATCTTCAGTGACCTTTAACATTCATTTTTTTTCCTCTTTTTTTTTTTCTTTAGAAAAAAATCCAGTGTGGGGAAAATGCACATATATAACCAAAGCAGTGCTTAACAACCACAGGAAAAAAGAACGTGATCTTGAACCTTATCTGCATCCTCCTTAGCCCCTTGTAAAATTACTTCCAAAGGGTCACTAACTCCAGCTCTACCAGTTCAAGTCTGTTAAACCATTTTCTAGTTCTAGTCCTTTCTAGTTTCTCACTATACCTATAGTCTGTAGCAAGAGCATACAGAAACGCTTGCTAATGTGCTCAGGACTTCCATTTGACTCAATGGAATTGTTTTAGATGACTGCTTCTACACCTCTTTTCTTGAATCGGAACTCCCAAATCAACCGGTAGCTTTCTAGTCCATACAGGAGAGAGCTCCAAGTCCCTTGCAAAGTTTTACTCATTCCTTTGGCCCAAAAGTTCATGGGCATCTAATAAATTCCCTCTCACAGTATTCCCAGGCAAGGATTCAGAAGAGGAGATGATTCTTCAACCAAATGAGATCCTCTGGTCCTGTGTGTCAGACCATGGCCAATAGAATGAGCAGCTGCCATGGATGTCTCAACTTAAATAGATTAGAGTCAAGGGAGGAGAGCAAGGCAGCCTGACCATCTTCCCATGAGGTACAGGCAGAGATACCCAAGTCACTCAGTTCTCCACAGCTTGTCTCCTTCCCTCGAGTCAAATATTGGATTCCATCTGTTCTAGCAGGAAGTGGTGAATCATGTCGAAGGTGGGACGATCTTTTATGTCCCTGCTCCAACACTTCAGCATCAGGTCAAACACCGGGTTAGGACACAGAGGAGTCTGAGAGAGATAGATCTGCAAGAGAGAAGCACAACTATTTCAGTTATCTTTATTAAAATAATTGAACCTTTATTCAATTAAAAAAAAAAACAAAGGACAATTTCATTTTAGGTTTTACAAGACACACAGCGGTCATGCAAAAGCAAAAGCTATCAAGTATGAATGTGGAAGTGAAGTCTGGGTGAATCCTTGACATATTCCAAATGGAAACGCAGACACTGTGTCAACATGTTCAGTGACAAAGTCAGTCATTTGTCCCATTAAAAAAAACCCAAACATTTTAGAGAATTTTTCTTCTAAGCAACAGCAACACACAAACCAAAACTAAGTTTACCACAATAAAATCCAAATACTGTCACTCACCGTAAACAACCCATGAGGCTTTTTAAGCATCGTGATAGCTTGTTAGCAGAGACAGAAAACAAACCATCTAAGGCAGAAATAGCTTTTTTTCCTCTCAAGACATTCATTTTTCATCTTTTTCCTCAAATCATTCCTATCTGGGAAATGGCAAATTAAACCTTCATTTCCTCCGATTTGTTTGGTGTTAAAATTGAGTTTTAGAAGACTGGCAAACAACAAGCACTCCACTTTTCTGGGGGGTGGAAGAGCCTCAGGACCAAGGTGCTAGGCTGTGTGTGATCCAGCACCATCAGCAGCAGCAGAGATCCTCACTGATTCAGGGCAACAGAGCTGGCAGCAGCAGAGCCCACAGCACTGCCCAGGAATTAAATTGAGGAGAGTAACGACACAAAAGCCCTTTGGCAACCTGGGATAGTCAGAGGCATCTCAGCACACATGGAGATAGTAGAGGGAATATCCAACTCGGAGGCACCAACAGTTCCTCCTTGCCCATCTCACTCTGGGCTTCCTCGATTTTCAGAGGAAATGCTAACAGGAAAGACCCTGGACAAGGGCAAGGAGTAAGCATTGTATAGGGGAGCCCAGAGAAGATGAGGACAGCACAAATCCGTCTTGAAACCGAAGTGGCTTATAGCAAGGAAGAAGCACGGGACAGGGTCAAGAAGTTCTTCTACTGGGACTCCAGGATAGGAAAGCTAGCACAATGAACCTAGATGAAAAATGGGAGAGTTGGGACACACCTGAGAAGGTGAGGAATAGAAGCAGGGACCTCAGCAGAAGGTATCAGGCCACCAAGAAAGCCCTTGGGAGATCCTCTCGGGTGCGTAGGGGGGCAAAGACGTCACCTCAGTGTTCCTACCTGCCTGCCCTGGCTCCGGAAGAACTCGCCTGTGTTCTCAATGACCTGCTCATCCGAGAGAAGGCTGTAGGGCTGTTCCTTACACAGGACAAACATCTCCCAGAGGGTGACCCCAAATGCCCAGACGTCGCTGGCCGTGGTGAACTTGCCCTGTGAACAGAACCAACGTTGTAAGCCCCCACTCTGCTTGCAGTACATCTGGGAAAACTCTTTCAACCTACGCTCTCAGCAGCCTAACATGAGGACACGCTGGTTGTGCCTTGGAAAAGGCTCTCCACAGAGAGCAGAGCAGGTGACCTGCTCTCAGCAATGCACATGCAGAAGCTGGTGTCAGTCTGTGCACTGTGTATTCTCCGCCTTAGAAAAAACAGGCCCAAACCTGCTCTGTTTGGAGCAACACATGTTCAGAGAAATAACGGGAAACAGCATTTTATTCTGGCTGCTGCTGCATGAATTATCAGGGAGCCAGAGGGCCTGTTTGGTCAGAAGACATTCAGACTGCCCAGGCTTATGTGGCAACCCTAGTAGTCTGCAAATATTTGGAAGATGTTAGCACAAGAAAGATGGAGGAGACCTACAGGTTAGATGAAGCTGCAATTAAGACACTGAAGTGAATTTAGAAAAGCTTAAGCCATATACCAGCCATTATAATCATGTTTAATTACAAGTTTACTATGTCATTGTAAAAATAAAAGTAGACACTCACACCGATCAATTTGTAAAGGAACCATCAAGCTGAAGGTTACAAAACTGCCTTTAGACTGAATTTGTTTGACTGTTAAACCACCTCCTAAGGGGAGAGCTTAAACACACAAAAAAATCCCAACCTCTAAACCAGACTTGGACCTAGAAACTCGTCATGTTTTATCCCAGCCCTTCCGAGCTTCGCAGCTGGGCAATGGGCACAGAGAGGGAGCTTGTTTACATTCTCGCAGGAATCCTGCATGCCAGGAACAGAACAGAAATCAGGCTGTGGATGGTCTGTGCTGCATTGTATCTGTGAGGGCACCCTGCTTCCCCGAGGGAGGCAACACGCCTGGCACAAGGACATCTCATCAGGGGCCACCGACACCACACGCTGTGGTGCTGCAAGGGCTGGTGACCGATTCAGGGGCACACTGAAAACCAGCAAAGTGAGCAGAGAATTATTTTGTGCAATCCTTACCAGAAGGATGCTTTCCCAGGCCATCCAACGTATGGGCAGCACAGCCCTCCCCTGGATCCGGTAGTAATCCCCGCTGTACAGGTTCCTGCTCATGCCAAAGTCTGCAATCTTGATGGTGTAATTGTTCCCCACCAGGCAGTTGCGAGTGGCCAGGTCTCTGTGCACGAAGTTCAGAGATGCCAAATACTTCATCCCTGAGGCAATCTGGGTGGCCATGTACAGCAGGTTAGAGTAACTGCATGGAAACAAAACAAAGAGCATGAACAGAGACATTCCTTGCATGCAGCTCTCGACAAAGCCAGGCTAGGCCCCTGCATTCCGTGCAACACAAGGAAACACTGCTAGTTGTCACTTTTTTGCCATAAGACTGGAATCTAAGATGTCCAGTTGTCCAAGCAAGGACAGACTGTGCCTAGAAGAGACTTAGTTCATAAGCAATAATTCATTGGTTCCATGTACAAGGAGCTGATATGCAAGGAGTTTATGCATCATAGCACCAACTTTTCGGAGCCAGGAAAAATCAGATTGTACAATCTCATGATCATGAGATCAGAATCTCGTGTCTTAGAAACTATTTAATTTGTTAATTCACAAACACTGCAATTGTATCACTAAGTCTGCCATATAGCACTGAAATGCTAAATATACAAAGCAAGAAAGGTAAGCTAAGTGTTTCAACAAATCTATTTTCCATCTGTTGTAACTGTATTCCCTTTTACTAGAAAAGAAAGGCACTAGAGATGCAGCATGCACTGGCTACAGACCACGCGACTTCCCAGATTCCTCACGTGCCATTGCTTTGGGCTGCATTCCCATTCTGCAAGCCCAGACACTTGACACACCAGCAGCTCCCACTCAAAATCCAACATGCACAGTCTGCTCCCAGTTGATAATTCTCCCAGAGCTCAGTGGGAGAATCCCCCCTCTCTCCCTCTCTGGGTTTTGGCGGCAGTGGAATAAGCACTACATATCACACGATGTGAACGACACCCATCTAGTCACCTAACGATAACGCACGCAGGCTGTGCGGGCTGAAGGCCCCCACGGCGCTCGGGCAGGCAGGTGGCACCCGGGCGGCATGCGGGCAGCTGAGCGTCGCTCCCGCGCCGTGCCGGCCCCGCAGCCTCCCGCGGAGGAGGGAGCTGCAGATGCTTCAGCCCGAGCTCTCTGCAGACCTTCCCCCAGCCCTGCTTGGCCACTGTGTCCCCCTCGGGGCTTGGCCAGGCTGCTCGAGCTGTCCCCTCTGCAGCCCGGTGGGCACCTGTCAGTGACCAGCGTTGGGCTCTGTGCTCCTCCGCTCAGCAGAATCTACAGTGCCCGCTGCCCTGAGGGAAGGGGACAGGCAAACTTCGCAGCAGACCAGCCACCCATCTTCATAATTTGCTAGTCACAGCAGCAGTGAGATGCACTTCAAACAAGAGCCAAAAGGGCTGAAGAAACACAGTGACCAACCCTGTCCTTCAGACAGGTCTCATATCTGGTGCATGAAGAAACAGGCTGCAGCAGTGGGGGCGATGCTGGGACTCCCCGTGTTCTGCACCCATAGGAGCTGGTGGAGACAAGGTGCAATCTCTGGCTGAGGGCTTCAGTTCAGGTTCAACAAACATCCTACACAGACAAAGACCTGAGCTAGTCACAAGATCTCTTTAGGAAGAAACTATATTTGTTTGAAAGATGGGATAAAGGAAACACTAAAGAATGGGATGAAGGACCAGATAGAGAAACAGGAAAATCAGAAGTTGGACCAAATTATAAAGGAAGGAGAGAGAAAAAGAAAAGTGTGAGCAGTAGTGCTGAAGTCACAGGACAATTCAGGAGCAGCATGAAAAAGAACGGCCAGTTGAAGGCTTAGACTGAGGTAAACGCCCTCAGCCTAAAGGTGACAGTCACTGCAGATGTGTGGCAGGCACAAGGCACTGCAGGGAGCAGGAACAGGTCTCTACACGGATGCAAGTCCTCCCCCACCCCACAGTTCTCAGTGTCTCATGGCTCTACAGGACGCCAGAAGAACATTCCTGACGAGGCTGCTGCCCACTGCCAGCAGAAAGGCACACACAGTGGCAAAGCACGGCCAGCTCCCATCCAGCCCATCAGCAGAACCTGCTCTGCCCTGCTGCTAGGCTATAAATAGGGAACATGCCAAGGATTAAGCTATGCAGCAAGTTCAGGGCAGGTCTCTTCACTGAGCAGAATAAATGTCTTTGTCCTACACACAAGACTACTTCAGTAGGAAAGGACTTTCCGCAACAGTGGTGATACTTTTAAGTTAGATTTAATCTTTCTGCATAAGAGATTAATGTCAGTACTGAGAGAAAACTGTTTTCTTTGCCAGAGAAATGTCCTCCTGCAGCTGGAAGATAAAAATCATTCCTTAGTTTGGTTCTACACTCCACTCACCTCTCCCTTTATTTTCTCAAAAAAAAAAAAAACAAACAAGCAAACAAAAAACCCTCAAAATCACACACCTGGAACCAAGGAGACATTTTAAAAGCCTAGCAGAAATTTTTCATTTTCACTGCAATGCAACTGGCTTGCCATATTAAATCAGTTATTTGATACTGCGTCACTAATGTAAGAGATGGTTAAGCTGGTAAAAAAAAAATCATCTAAGTGCTTACTGTGACCAGAGCAGCCCCCAGTCAGGGAAGCTTCCCAACAACATGAACCCCTAGAAGTCCCTCAAAACCACCTCCGACTCCAAGTGGGGCTGTTGCTCACAGTGTAGGCTGCACAGCTGGCCAGGCTGGGACAAAGCAACTCCCTGAAGGCAGAGCAGGTGCTGTGGTAGCTCACGATTCCTGCTTAGACCTAAACAGGCTGCTCTCCTTACCTGACACAGGGAATGTTGTTTGAAACAGCAAATTTGCTGTAGATCTCCCTCTGCGACAGGAACTGGTTGAGGTCGCCGTTCTCCATGTACTCCGTTATCATGCACAGCGGGTCGTCGCGCACACACACGCCCAGCAGCCGGATGATATTTGGGTTCTTCAGCCGCGACATGATCTTGATCTCCTTCAGGAAATCGTTCCTTAAAAGACAAAAACCAGGTTTGACTCTCAGGCTACCCCGTGGTCTAAGGGCAAGAGAAGCACCATGTAAAGAAGCTAGAAATCCCTCCCCAGAGAGGACATTGCGAGTTTGAACATTGGTTCGGTGTTTGTGGGCAACATCCACCCTCTCCCTAGCAAAGGGGACAAAGGCACCATTTCAAAAACATGTACGTCTACTCCTGCTCTCAATTGTACTGTTCTTTACTTGAACACACGAAACTTGCTTGCACAGGGCTCTATCCCTAACACAAGTTATTCCTAGTGAAATCTCATACTGCTATGTGGAAAACATCAGCTTTCCTTCTCAGATGGCAACCACGGCGGGCGCGCTTACCTGGCTATTTTGTTGACATCTGATCTTAGCATTTTTACTGCTACCAGAACAGGTTGCCGAGTGAATTCTGTGGAAGAGACTCCCAGAAATTCCAGCAGACCGTCAGCTTCACACAGGTGTACCTGCAGGGCAGAAAGCAGTGGCAACTATGAAAGCACACGTGGGGAGAAAACCAGAGGAAAACGTCACTTTGAGCCATGTTTGGTCACAGAGTGACTCTGAATATGCAACTCTTTACTCTGATAGCAAACAGCCTATAGGATGGCCCTAGATCCCGGACTAAAAGAACATGCTTACACCATCTAGCCCATGATGTAGGAGAGGACACAGACTGCACCCTGATGGGTCCCTAACACACCAAATTCATACTGAAAGCAAATGACTGGGAAACCAAGCTGCCAAACAAGCACTGAACATGTTCAGGAAGGCCACAAAACCTGGAGTTTCCTGTCCTGCTCTGCACATGCAATGAGCCCTGCTGCAGCAGGCTGGGCACGTAGAGCAAGCCCGACCAGCCACACACGTACAGCAAGTGTGCCCCAGTGTTGGGCGTCTGCAGACTGGCTCGAGTCACTGCCCCAGCTTAACTGAGGAGTGTCTGAAAGTCACAGACAAAGCTTGGAAGGCTTCAGACTCTAAGCAGGAAAATGTTCGACATGAATACCTCAACCGTGAACGTTTCCAAAGGAGATCTCCAAGGAGAATACAGATTTGAATTTCTTACATTAAATAAATGAATTAAGACTTGAAATTACTCTAGTGTTTTATAGAAAGGGGGAGAAAAGTAGGTTTTCTTGAGAAAAAAATACATACTCAAGAAAACAAGACCAGAGACACAGGAACAAGGGAAAGCAGACAGACCCGAGCATGTGGCACTGGAAAAGGGAACAGAGGTGAGCAGACTGGATACCTCAGTCCCAGGAGGATGTGCAGCAGGACAACCTACTGGGAGCTCCATGCACTTCATATGCAGCAACAATCACCAGTTTACACGACAAGCACAGGGAGGAGACAGAGACAGCACAAAAATGGGGCAAAGCTGCATAAAGAACAGAAGTATGAGGAGGTTGCTGCAGTTTTATGAAGTCTGGTGAGGAGAAAACACGGTCAGACTTGTTCTGTCCTTCAGAAGACCCAGCAAAATCAAGCAGAGACTGGCTGTACAAACTTGGCATAGGAGAGAGTGATGGTATTAAGAGCATAAAGTATAAATGAAAGCCGTGTGTCACTGAGCCCAGGAGCGGGGTGGACAGAAGCAGGAAAGACTCGCTTGAAAGCGAAGGGAGCAAGAAGAAGCCATGTTGCTAGAAGCAGGACTGGACACCAAGTCTTGCTCTGGAGCAGAGCATTTGATGATGACCCTGCCTGGAAATTCCTACAAAGGCAAGGAGAAGGAGGCAGTTCAGCACATTTGCAAAGATAAGGGAAAGAGCTTGTGATGTGAGGAAAGGAACAAGCCACCACTGTTTGACAGCAAAAGGGAAGAACTCTTCTATAATATATGTAATATGGAAGAACTGTCCAGAAAGGACAGTTATTATAAAGAAAAGGAGAGAGTGGGAAGGGGGAAACCAGAAGCAGAATATGGAGGGGTGGGGGGAATGTTTTACAGTTGAAGCAAGTCCAAGATGGGGACAGGATCCAGGCCACAGCAAAAGAGGCTGCTCTGACAGCCAAGGATGATGGTAAGCCATCACCAGCTTTCTAATACTGAGAGACCCAAAAAGAAAGGAGCAGAGAAGGGAGAGAGTGCATGTGGTCAACAGGGAGACACACAGAGATGGGCATGCCATGGCCAAGAGCAAGGGAGCAGTAAAGGGCTGGTGCCTTGCCAAAAGGTGACGGAAGGACAGAATTTAAGTCTCGGAGGAACAAAAGCTGGGAAGGGTGGAGAGACAGATAGATCCTGGAAGAGATGGGCACAAGTGAGAAGATCTGGCTCAGTAGGGAGCTAGAGATAGCACAGCAATAAAGTAGGGAGAGAAGGAAGGGACAAAAATTCTCAGCTCCAGGAGTTCAGGGTGAGAGCTCAGCAGAGGACCCAGCTGTAGGGCCCAGGCTGCACGGGGCTTCGGCACAAGCCGTGGGTTGAGCGAGCGGCTACGCCAGGAAACACGCAGGGACACGATACCCATCCTGGCCTAGGCCCCGCACAGAGCCCACACAGACCCTCATCTCTTAATGCACAACCTGTTTGGAGAGGTAGCTGGATCTGCCTTGGCCAGAGTCACTACCAGAGCTTTCACACCCATGTGCTTAAGGGGGCATAATCTGAATGTGAGAGCCACCAGAAGTCTGGGGCTTCCAAGGAAAAGCATGGAATAGTCTGAATTAACAACTCAGATTCTTTCTATAGTCTCATAAATAGGGATACAGAGAGCAAACAGCTAACACAATTTACAGATCAACTGTTGGAAAAGACTTTCCTGTGGCACCAAGCAGCCAGCTCACGAGTGCAGCACGACTCTCCAAAGCCTCACCTTATGGGATCTTGGCTTTCCCCCAATGCAAAGGTAGGTATTAAAATACTGACGTGTAGGTCCCTCGGGCCCCAAGTGAGAGGCAGTGCCCAACTAGCAGCTCAGATTTGCTCTGCCAGGTGTGGAAAAGAAAGGCTGTACCTCGCCAAACTGCCCTTCTCCCAGCTTCTCCTTGAGTCGTAGCTGTTGCCGGGGGAATTCACCTACTGAGATGTCCTTTTTGGTGAGTGAATCCACTGTGAGGGCTGGCACTGCATACATGTTGTTGCCTGTCGCACCTTGCAGGTGGACAATATCTGTTTCAGCGTAGTGAGGAACGTTGTTCTGGAAGCCTTGGTGAGGAGTGGACTTGGTCAGGTCAGGCTCAGCATAGTCCCCACTGCACACTGAGGGGAAACCAGAGACAGGCGGAGTTGAACGCTCTTGTTCCTGCAGAACAGGGTGGCCTAGCTCCTGCTCCTGGAGAAGCGCAGCCCTCGGGGAAGCTCAGCCCAGCTGCACATTACCCTGAACCAGCAGCACTGCACAGCTAGGCGAGGATGGTGCTTTGTTTTAACAGAGGCTTAAAACCCAACAAACTACTGCTGCAGACTCCATGTCAATCAGCCGCTGCTGTCCCTGGTCACCGTGAGCTAGAAGTCCTGCCCAGACACCCAGGTCTGCGTCCCATGTGATTTTCTGCTACTCATTCACCCTAAATATGAGTTGTCCCTCTAACTCGAGGCAAGGAATGTTGTTTGAAATGGCAGGTTTGCTGTAGATCTCCATCCACAACGTGAATAAGGTCTTCATTTTCTGTGTACTCTATTATAACTTTACCCTACCTATTACAGCTTATTCACATAAGTACTATATAATGACTGTTTATAATTAATTCCCCTGTATGGTCAGTATGACACAGAGCATTCATTTTGCTTCAAGCTTGCCTGACTCCATCCAAATCAAGTTCCCTGCACAGAACAACTTAACAACCCATCTGTGCTTGAGGAAAGTGACACTGCCCTTCTATTCACTAGAGTAGGGGTGCCATCACAAGCACAAAAGCCTGCAGGATGCACACAGGAAGCAAAACCTCCACAGCTTCCCAGGGGGTCCGGGAGCACAGGCACCAAGACAATTCCCTGCCAAATTTGCCTCTGCTTCTTCTCTGGGGGGTATTTCCAAGAGCTATTCCTGCAAGAAGAGGTGCTAAAGGAATCTCTGCCGGGAGCTGGTCTGGATTGCCTCCTGGAGAGCCTCAGGCAGCAACACCCCTGCCAAGGGGCTGAGGAGACAAACGATGACTTGCTGCTGTGATTGCTAAAAGCAGCTGCTAACAGATGACCAGCTAACACACAGACAGCCTTCAAAGAGAACAATAAGAGGCTGTGTATTGAGGCTGCTGCACCATCTGCCAGAGCTCCCCACTAAAATGTCACAGCTTCAGAACACTCCTATCAGGTCCCTAAGTTAGTGAGAGAAGATTAGAAAGGGCAAAAAAAGATAAGAGGAAGAATAAACAAATTCGGGAGGCAGGTGATTATATTACCTGAATCCTCCGCACTTTGAGAGAGCTCTGGAAGCTTGTGCAGTAGTGTTGCTGGCTGGTGATATTCCAAGTCCAGCGGGAAAGCACGCTCATACGTGGGATTTGACTGGTGAATCTGGGTCTGGTTGTTGGCAATGGTGTAGCTGTAGAAGGAGAGACGAACTGTGGCATCCTCCTCCAGGATTCGGCGTGGAGCCTTGGGGAAAGAGCAAAACCTGCTGAGCTGATGCTGGGTTGAGTGATGTGTGAGCTGCAAGCATTTCCAGCAACATCTTGGGCAGGGCCTGTGTCCCTAGAAACTGGGTTTTAGCTACAGGACAGGTGAGGCCCCATGCTTTCCACATAAGAGTTCACTAGGGTTAATACTTAATACTAAACTGCCAAACAGCCCCATGGTATTACCTTTTCCAACCTTTTTTGAACGTACTGCTTCCAAAGAATAATGATTATAATCATCAGGAGCAGAAGAATAATAGCCACAAGGCAGCCCACCAGGATGGAGGTATTAGAGTCATCTGCCTTCTCTCCTATCCAGGTGCTGGTTACAGACGATGTAGTTTCTGCAGTCACAGAAGAATTAAGAATGTGGAGTCAACAAAGCATAAGCGGTTTTATGCATTGGCCAACTTCCATGAGACCATGTTCCTTTCTACAAGCTAGTACTGAAAAGATCTTAGGCAGCTTCCCAAGTATCAGCATTAGTTGTGTTCCTACTTTAATCAAAAACCTCTCATTTTGGAGGTTCAGAGATGAGCTGTGCAGAGCACGCCTGCAGCCAACCACCATTCCTGGCACTGGAACTGATTCCTTGGCTGGATTTGTGTTAGAGCAGACAACATCCCCAATGCACCAAGAGTGTTTGCAGTTTCCGTGGCCGCATTTTTGTGCTCAGCCCGCTTGCTCTGAGGCAGCCTGGGCCAGCTGGGTTCAAAACACCAAAATGCAGCCTCAGTACAAGGGCAATAACCAGACTATACCCACATCTCCAGAAAGACACAGAGAGACCATGTTAACTAAGGTGGCAGGGGGAAATTACCTGGCACTTGAGGCTTTGGCTAATGACAGAAATCCTTACCCCAGGTCCCCTCAGTGACGTTGTATTCCGCTTCCAGCGGTTCCGTTGTGCTTGGGGCGACTGTCACCAGAATGGGATTGACACTCTCCATGTCTGCGGCAGGGGAGGGAAAGAGATCAGCCCTGGGGCTCTGCGGCCACCGCGGCCCCGGCCGAGCACCCAGCCCTGCCCCGCGGCAGCTGGCACCCTGTAAGCCCATCCACCAGCCCTGGCTGCTCGGGCAGCACTTCCCAGAGCTCCTGCTCCAGGGAGCAGAGGCTCCACAGCCTCTCACTGGAGTGCCCAGTACCTCCCATCCCCATTGCCCCTAGGGCTCTTCCCAGAGCTCAGCCAGACGTAGAAGAAATCAGGACAGGAGCTTTGCTTTGTTTTTGGCATGAGTCTGAGAACAGTCATGCCGGGTCAGCCCAGAGCCTGCCCGGGCGCACGTCCGACGGGAGGGTGCCAGGAGGGGCTGCTACCAACAGGACCGAGATGAGCCGCAAGCTTCCTGTGCTGTGCTCTCCTCAGAGCTGCACAGGGATCTCCCGAGCAGGAGGCTGTACCCAACTCATTGCGTTTTGCTCTCAAGAGTTGCTTTCTTTCCAAGACTGAGCCTTCCCAAGCACCCCACAGCACCGACTCCCACCTTACACCTCAAGGAAAGAAAACACCACCCACAAGGCAAAAACATTCTGCCTTCCCCCCTGCCCCCAAATAGACATTCAATCTGCTAGCTTTATAGTTATAGATGTAGCTTATTCACAAAAAAAGCAAACAATAAACCCACGATATGTAAAAAAGTCACCCTAATAAGCAGCAAGCAATTTCCTCAAAAGTAGTGCCTGATGATCCCATTTCTGGTTCCCCTGGTTCTGCTGCTGCACACCTGCATCAGTCACAGCTTCAAAGTCCTCCCTGTCCACTTGGCCCTTTCTGCTTCTGCACTGTCCCCCCAACCCTCATCAGCCTCATCTTCCTCTCAGTGCTCGGCCCACCCCTCGTTCCTGCGGGTGGGCTCCACCATGCCCTTAACCATGCCCCTGATCTGCACCCCAGGGTGCCGCCCCCTCCATCCCCACAGCACCCTGCAGCCTCCCTGTGCTTCCCTATCATGTTCCCGCTCCTCGCAGCGTGCCCAGCATCGCCTTTGGGCAGCCCCGTGCTGCCCTGAGCTGTGAGCTGAACTCAGCGGGTGCCTCTGCACCCTCGCGTGGCTCCCGCGCTCCCCCAGGCCTCCTCAACCAGAGGAGCACTCACCGGACTGGAAGGAGATCTCGCTCATCATCATCCAGGAGTCGGCGAAGGAGAAGCGGCAGAGGATGGCCTTGCCCACGCGCTGGTGGAGGGGCACAGTCACGAACCTTGCGCTCGGGTTCTTGTCGTCCAGCACCGTGGCCACCCCAACAGGCTCGGGCTCCCAGTCTGCAATCAGGCGCGGTTTGAACAGACACTCCACCTTCTGGAAGATCTTCACTCCCTTGGAAAACATGTTGTTGCAATGCACCTAGAAACACACCAGCCAGACGGTAAGATTCATTGAAACCGAGATTCAAGGGGTGGTGATTTTCCGTTCAGGAAGCTCTTCAACAGCTGTCTATGTATGAATACTCTAAATCAGTGTGACTGACTTGTTGCAGCACAAACCCACCCACCCTTGTTCTGCAGCGGGAATGTCCATGCAAGCAAGGACTCTGAAACAGCTGTTAACTGTACCTGCAAAAAGTAAATTAAGTCTAGTCTTGGTAGGCTTTCCAAGAGATCCAACAAAATACACCAAGCAGCGTCAAACCTCCAAACACGGCACCCTGTATCAAAGCTGAAGCTTTCCAGAAGGATTCTCCTTGAACGTATGTGTAAAGAAGGGAAAAAAGCCAATTCTGGGCCCAATAGGCTCTTTCAGAAAGCCACAGTGACAAGAAGTGACCCACAGCACAAGGCAGAGCAGCTGTCCCAGGCACACGCAGCACTAGCGCGGCTGGGTGGCCGCGGGACGGCCGAGGCTCGGTGCTGCCGCTGGGCACCCTGCGAGCCCGTGCGCCAGGGCCGCCCCTGGTGGCTCAGCGCGTCGGGAGGGCGGCCCCGCTGCCACCGCCGCCGCTGGCACCACTGCCACCCTGCCCGTGGTGGCCTCGCACCGCGCGGGCACCCTCCAGCACCCAACCAGACCGGCGGCAAAGGGGGCTTCACAAAGCCATGAGGCTCCTAAGGATCCCTTACCAACCTGGCTGCCTTGCTCGAACACAAACGTTGCTCTTGGGTTCACGTTTTCACTTACTTTAACGTGACAGTTTAGATTCTGTCAGGAAGGACTGAAGATCTGGGCCACAGCCCAAACACCAGGAACAGTCCAAAAGGAACAAGGTGGCCCTCCACGTTCCCGCGTTCCTCCCAGCCTGCGTCTTCACAGCCACCGTGGCCTGACCCTCCGCGGGAGCCAGGAATTACTTCCTGACGACTGCGCAGCAAGGGCTGCCACCGAGCACAGCCTCCAAGGCCTCCAACCCTAATTGCTCGGTCCCTGTGCCGTCCTGCCGTGAATAGGAGCGAGGCAGTAATGAGGGCAAGGGCCTGACGGGCAGGCAGAAGACAAGAGGGGATTTGAGCATGATGAGGAACAAACGGGGCCCAGACAACATCCCTCAGCAAGAGGCAGAGTCAGCACAGACGCAGAGGTTGCATCTGTTCATGGTGAGGAGGGATATGGGAATACTTCCCATCCAACCATTCTGAGTGTGGTGCTAAGCAACACCTACCAGTGTCCAGGCGAGCCTGGGGAAGCTGCAGCATAGCTGCAAAATTCCGGAACATTTATTTATTTTAAGTATTCCCTTGTATATTGGGGGAGTTCAAAGCACTGGAATACTTCATGTTAATACCAGCCGAGTGTAACATATGTATCACAGGTAAGTGATAACCTGCTAGCTTACTTGATATCAAGTGTAAAGGTGATCCAGCACACACCGAATTAAAAATGGAGAATCATTTATCCTAATTCAAGCAGCCTTATGAAATATTAAGGAAAGTTGCTATTTCTACAAGTTTCTGTATTTGGTTGGTCAGGATGGCAGCGTTTACACGACAGGGTTTTATGCAGCATTTGATACGCTATCACAACAACAACTCCAGCCAACAATATGAACTCACGAATTGCATGATTCGGGTAAGACTTGCCAGTCCTAAACAAGGTGTCACTCTTCAGCAGGTTTGTTCCTCCAGCAGGAACATGTTCCTAGTTCAAGGCTATTCACTGTCTTTCTTAGGGACCTGAAGAGAGTAAAAATCACTAGGGATTGAATTTAAAAGCAACAACAACAAAAGCAGAAACAGCAGTTTCCCAGCTCACATGAACTGAGCAGTGAGCTGGGCCCTGACCGACTCGTTTAGAGGTAATGAATTTAGCCACAAAATGTAAACCAGGCTTTCGGGGTTGGACTTCTAGCCCAGAAACCACTACGTTTGGATAAGAAGCTGGTACTGCGCTAGAAGTCAAGTGAACATTGGCTCCCATACTTCAGGGAAAAAGTGAAATATGATTTCAGGATTCACAAACAAAGCATAAACAAAGGCAGAAAGTCAGCACCGTTTGTGTACGCAGTTTGCTGGAAAGCCTGCACCCAATTCCACCCTACACCTCCACAAGAGACCTGGCAAGCAAGCAGAAAGGACTGGAGGAACAGCACGAGTAACCCTAGCTCCCAGGGCAGGAATTGAGAAGCTCAGCCAACTTAATCTACTGAAGCAGAGATTAAAAGTGATTTAATCATAATATAGAAACAAGAAAATTTCTGAGAAGGCAAGACTCGATTTTTTGCCAGAGAAAGGAGGCAAAGAGCCAATGGCTGCAAGCTAAAAATAGACAAAATAAACCAGGGTAAGTAACCACCAAAACAATTTACTTAAGGATGTGGTGGGTTCTCCTTCATTTGAAATCTTTACAAGAAAAGCCACTGATCTTTTCAAAAAATTCTGCTATTTACTACGGATTCAAAACATTCTATTCATCCTTTTCGTTCATGATTAAGTAGTTTCCCACAGCACAAGGTTTCAGGCATCCAGAGTAGTTTTTGGTGAAAACCATGGAAGCACAACCACATTTTGTTGCTGCAAGGGTCAGGCCAGGCGTGCAGAGAGAAACAACATCCTCAATTGGTTCCTGCTGTCAGTGGGCTCTGCCCAAGCACTGCCCCAGGTGTCTGCACTTTAGTCCTTGGTCATTTAAGCTAAATGGTGGAAGGAAAACATCTGAGCTCTGCAGAGGCAAGTGCTCTGTGGCCCCAGCTTTCTGCATGGGCAAACATGAGTTATTTCCTGCTCAACTTCTGTCTCCGATGGGATTGTGCTTTGGGCAGGGAGCCCAGGGAGGCAGTTCGGAAGCACCCAGACCCAGAGCCCACCCCAGGCAGCGGGAGGTCCTGGCTACCTTCATGGAGGTGAAGTTCCTCGGCCGGTCAAACTGGAACTCCATCTCGACAGCGCCGGTGCTGAAGCTCTCGTTTCTCCAACCCACGTAGTCGTAGCCCGGCCACACGCGGTACTGGTGGCTCTGCGTGAAGTCGTCCAGCCCCAGCACGCCGTCCGTGAGCTGGCCCAGCCCTCCGTACAAGTGCCTAGGCAAGAGAGAGAGAGGAGTCACACAGGAACACCAGCCAGGACAAAACTCAGGCTTCTTCACCCCCTGGAGCACCAGGGCATTCAAGTCTTTCAGCTGGTATCAAGAAATCATTAGTTTAACTATTCTTAACCTATTCTGGACAAAAACTCATTCCCTGTTATTGAATAAAGTGAAGGTGATGCTGTGCAAAGTGAACTGTGAGACCTTCCTCTGCTTTGTGAAAGGCAAAGTATTTGCATTGGTGTCACATCAGCCACAAAAATCTAGCAACAAGTAGATTCTCTTGAGAATGAAGGTGACGGCTCCAGAGAAGACCCTTTGGGTTCTCCTAAGAGAAAGCTTTAAGTGAAACAACTCACTGTGGAGCCACATGGGAGGAACTCTGCTCTGTCCTGCCCTGGGAGGACAAGGGGGAGTTTTGCAGCAGGACAAGAAGCTCTGGATGAGCGGCCATGGTCAGCAGTCACAGCCGAGGCTCTCCAGGGTTATTTCTGACTCTGCTTCTCGCTCAGGAGAGCGTTACCAGCACAAGACAGATGAGCTGCTTCTGCCAGGACTCTGTCTGGCTCCGCTCGGAGCACAGAGCCAGCTGGGATAGTGCTGAAAGTCTGTATGGAGCAGGAGAGGCTACACACGGTATGTTCCTGACTCAACTACCTTTTAGGAGCACTGCCTGGCACGTTCTCCCCTTGTCCTATTGCAGGGAGAGTGCTAACAGTGCACAGTGTCACTGCCTGAGCTCGCTTTCTGGACCTCTTTCATTTAGTTAGGCTAGTCTGGATTGGTCTTGGCTAGGCTGGTATGTGCCTTGAAGGTCCCCAAGCCCATTCCAAGGAAGGCCTCCTACCATCGGGATCTGCACTAGTCTGCATGACCTGTGAGCTCCCAACAGGATTCACAGCTGGAAGAGGCAGACTCCTGCCTCCAGGCCAGCCAGGCACCAACCTCCTCTTTGATTAGCTTGAAGGGCTCCTTGCTCAGCACCTTGGGGCTGGTGCCCGCTCCCCGGCGCTCTCCTGCAAAGGCTGCTGCTAAGCGAGGGCTCAACAGCCAAAGCCCTCGCCTCCTACACCTGCACACGCAGCTTCTTGGAAGACTCTAAAATGTAAGCTGTGACTCAAACGAAACTCTGATCTCACGACATCGATGGTGGATTTCTAAATACCTTCTTTCAAAAATATTTTCTGCAACTGGAAAAAAAACCCTGGGTTAAACTCAAAGAGCAGGTCTCCCTATTCAATCTTGAATATATCAATACTGTCCAAAAGCATCAGATGTTACTCTACACCAAGATCTAAAGACCTGATATCTTATCAGATCCCTATAACACCTTATAACATAAGGAATGTATTCCCACTGCCTCTCCCAATCACATTTTTGACTCCAGCATAGCAGAAGAGAACAAGCATTTTAAAAGATTCCCATATCTCTAAGCATGAGGAATTTAAGGCATCAACAAAAATTTAAGGAGTTACCGGAGGGGGAACATCCAACAGGAGCCCCTTAGCTCCATGGGTGCCAGCAGGTCACTTCTCAGTCACCTTTCTGCACAAGCTAGGAGATGCTGCCTCAAGAGAAGGCCCATACCTAAGTTTGCCCAACACTTCAAACCATTTAAACATTCATCTCTGTACTTATAGCAGATAAAAGTGGTCAGCTCTGCAAGAGCAGCCAGTTATTTAACATTTCAGATTTAAACTCTTAATGAACTGTCTTGCAAGGGAGTCGTAAGATAAACCACAGACCTCAAAATGTGAACAAATGTCCTAATTTAGCTCAGTGATTTGAAATATTAGCATGCCTTGCAATGAGCTGTAAAACCTGAAGATCTTGGGATTTTTGACTCCAAATCTGAACAGCATCATACCCAAAAAATCTTTACGAATCAGCCACTTTGATGCCACATTGACAGTGGTGCCTCTGCTGACTTAGAGCACAGGGACTCACAGGGACTGATGCAGTTTCCCACAATGTCCGAGTCCTTTCGGGCTTTGCTTGCAAAACCAGCGTCCCACCTCTGCCCAGGAGCTCACAGGTCTGCAGTGCTGCAGCCTGCAGCTCGGGTGCTGCGTACTTGCCCCATGCCCCGTTTACCCTGGCGCTCTCCTGCAACCGTTTAAGATGCAGCCTGCTGGGGAATGCCTTGCAAACACCAAACTCCAGAAGCCAAGGCAACGAAGAGGGGAAGGACCTACAGCAAGAACACTCTGGTTGTGCAAGCACAAGGTCCAGCTAGCTGCCCCGCTCCCATTTTGGGCAACAAAGGAGCGGCAGCACCTTAAGCTGTTGGTAGTACTGCAGATCATAAAGCTATACGTGATCAGCAGTAAAATCAGTGAACACGCAGTGAATATGGCCACAGTAGAGTCCAAGCATGAGGGCTTTAAGACACATCAGAACCATCTTGTCACACCATGCACAGATGGGAAGCCAGGAGCAGAGACAGATGTATAATGACAGATCCTTCTGTTTGAAGAGAAGCTCCAAAGACTTCCAATAACACACAAATAATTTGCTTCCCAGTCACCTTCACCAGCTAGGATGGGATGAATCACAAGCTTGTGCCCTCCTTCCAAACAACAACTGACAACACATCAAAGGGTCCACCAGAACCAAGCCTCTCCAGTATTAAATGCTCTGGAGAACTAGGAGGCTGGCTTGCAGCTAGGCCTTCAGAACTGTTTAGGATGCAGGACTCTAATGACAGCATAAGCAAGCAGAGGTAATTTGCACAGTGATAGAGAAGAGGACAACTCCTCCCACCTGCGCTCATGGTAGCCATCGTAGGTGGAGTCGTTCAGGTAGACGATGGGGAAGCCAGGAGCCGCGATCGTCTCCCCTTCAGGGATGCTATAGGAGGCCAAACCATCTAAAGAAAGAAGTCACACATGTCAAACAGCCACCACCTTCCACCACCTCTGCCCACGTGACTTGTATTTATGACATGGGCCACCAGAGGCAATTCTGTGGCATGGAGATCTCTCGTGTGAGGATGCTGAGGAGCCCAGTCAGTGCTGTCCAGAGGCTACTACTCTTCAATCACAGACATGGAAATCACTACTTACCATACCAGACACAGCCGTAGAGCTCCACCCTCATACACACGGTCATTGGCAGCTCGGTCACAGGAATCACCCGGATGAAACGAGCAATGATGGGAGGCCGAAGATCTTTTAAGACCACGTCATAAGTGTTGACATTGCCTTGGATCACCTAGGAGAGAGATAAACTTCCTGGAGTGCAGTTCTTATGCAGGAGTTCACTTGCAGCCCATCATTTGAGACCAAGGAGTTTCCCCATGCTGCATCTGCAGAGGGTTTGCAGCTGCTGCTCCTCCTCCTCCTCGCTGGGGCCTAGCTTGGGAGGTGAAGACTGCCTGACCACTGCAAACAGGTACCAGGACGGACTTCAAGAGAGAAAAGAGGGGCAGCAGGAAGACAAACGTACTCGTGGACTATACACTCTTCTCTGGTACGCAACCCTCTTTCCAACAAGTCTACATGCACATTCTAACAACAGGTCATGCCCAGCCCCTGCCCTTACCACCAGTTACCTGGGGAGAGTCTTGATGTCCTTTTTTTTTTTCCTATAAAATACTACAGAAGCCAACAAAACGCCAAGAGTTGCTGCAGCATTTCACAGCTGAAGGTCCAAGGAGCTGCAGAGATGTCTTGAACCGAAATACCCCCATTACCCACCTGGGCCATTCTGGGAAAGCAGTGTCTAAGCTGGCAGAGAGCTACATCCTCCTCTGTTCGATCCTGTTCTAGGGAAGTCCCACATTCTGCTCCCACAGTCACTGTATGGGAACAGCTGTAGCTGTCAACCCCTCGGGGAAGGGCTCAAAAAGTCTAAGGGATTTTTGAAAGAGTCTGAACCCAGAGACAAAATAAAACCACTTCTAATATTAAGAGCCTGAATCACCAAAGGCAACATCATCCTGAAGCAGGGAGGGACAAGGGAGCAACAGCTTGACCCTTTGCCTTCACCGAGTACATCAAAGCTACAGTTGCCTTGGGCAGTCCTGGCACACGTCCCACCTGCCTGATGACCTCACAAGCCAGTGAGATCTGAAACTCAGCAGCAAAGCGGAGATCTTCCTGGCTGAAGCCATTTGTGTGATCCACCTACACAGGGACATACCACAGTGCGAGTCCAGACCAAAGATACATCCACTGCAGGACTTGAAGTCTCCACAAACACCTGAATTTTGCACCTGCATTTGCACCAAAGCTTGAACGATTTTGTAGGGCATCTTTCAAATCATCTGACAGACCAGTAGTGCTTTTGAAATATGCATTCGCTAACTGAGTGTGACCTTTCCTGGTGACATATGCTGAGAACAGCACGCAAAGTCAATTTTCAAAGCAGCTGGAAGGACAGGAATCCCATGTCCTACTCCGTAGGCTGCGTCCTGAATAAGAACAGAACCATCTTCTCTAAAGACAGCAGCTGGTAAATTGTTATGGCCTCATAACAGAGACCACACGCGCACACTGCCAGAATAAATACGGGGACTCGCCTGAACACACCCTCAGGTCCTCACTGCAGCCTGGGAGGGGGATCTTGCCCAAATGGAACCAGGAGACTAACCATAACGCTGATATCAAGCGGATGTCGGTGGGTCTGATAACACCGCTTTGCGCAGGCCTGGGACCACGGAGAAGGGCTTTATCTGCCCAGGGCCAACGCAGCCATTCCATTCTGTAGTAACTGTGAAGCTACAGGCAGTCTTCACCCAGTAAAGTACCAGTAAAGAACACTGAGCCTGAGCTTCCCCTCCCATCCTGCAAACCACCTGTTTGCTGGCACAGAGACACAAGAGGCAAGACACAAAATGGCCAAGTAGCAAATTCAAGGTCTGAGTGAACAAGCCACTCATTAACAAACTAGAGGTCACTACCTAAACTGCTTCCAGCACTACAGGCCCCACTGCGACTTGCAAAGTGCCCTCAGTGCTTACCAAACACCACGGGGCACTGACTCTGTCTACTGAGGGACAGACTCTGGCTTAGGCCTGAGACAGGAGGATCAGTTCATACGAGCTGCAGACGAGAGGAAGCTCCCTTCCAAGGGAGGGTTAAGGCTTGTGAACATGAGCGGAGGGCAGCACTGCATACCTCAGTCTGGAGCAGTCAGAAATAACTGCAGCAGAGCAGGGAAGCCTCCCTGGGTATGCACTCAGCATGTTTCCTACCCTCTGAACTCCTCCATCCTCTAAATTAAACTAAATTTAACGCTGCTATCAGATATCCAAAACCTCGTCCCCTTTCCATGTCCCACCTTTTAAAAAAAGACACCAACACAAAGCAGGCATGCCAGATCCCAGACAACGTAGCTAATGGTCAAAAACAGACACGGGACATGAAGTCTGCTTTGCAGCTTCCAATTCCAAAGCAAGTCCCAAGCTGGTAGTGGGACAACCCTGCTGCATTTCAAAGTGTTTTGACTACAGAGGTACTGATCAGCCACTATTTTAGGGCAGGGCAATGGCAAGGACTTGGGGAATCAGCTCAAGGGAATAACAGTCCCAGCAAATACAGGAGTAAGGCAGAGCCTCCCTCCTGACAGGGAGGAATGAGGAGAGCAAGAAGCACCAGGCAGCGAGGAGGCCAACAAACGAGGCACCTCCTGCAGTTCAATTCCCTGCAGTTTCCCTTGGCTTCCGCCCGCTCCACGCTTGGCTGCTGCTGCTGCACCCACCTGCTTGCCTTGGCGGTCCTTCCAGGAGATCCAGCGCTCCCCGTTGCGGCTGTAGTCAATCCGGTAGGCGTGAGCAAACTCCTTGCCCGTGGCACGGGCGTGCCGACCCTGAGTGCCAATTAGGGTGATGAAAAAGAGCTTGTGAAGGTCCATTTGGAGGAACTGCACATCCTCCGGCTGCAGCAAGCCAGCCGGGCACCACGCTCCATCCCCTTCTTCTCTTTGTAACCTGAGGGGAAAAACATATTTAAAAAACTAAACAAGACCCCAACATTTTCCTCTTGAGGATCCAGCCTTCCCACTAACTGAGAAGTCCCCTTGAAACTGCAAAAATGCATAAAAAGAAAATAAATTAGCAAGTGAGCCCTGGCCTACCCAAGGCCTCCTCCTCTGAGGGGATGATCTGTAGACACTTATCCAAGATCCCTGTACCCAGTTTTTGCCCTTTACACCGTCACATAGTTTTGGACACTTCTCATCAACTACTACCATTAACCACTGTTATCTTTCTCAGGGCCAACACTTTACTGCTGCCTTGTAAGCAACTACATTTGTCTGTAGGAAATTGTGTATTAATGGTTTTTAGCATGTGGCCTGGAAAGCACGTTGTTACTTTATCTACATCCCTCATCCAGCAAGGTCTGAGCCTCTGCTCAGCCTCCTTCTATAGCTAATACAAGTACAAAGAGGAGCTACCTCAAAGTAAACTTTAGAAACAAAGTTCTAAAGCTCCACAAATCGCTGTGGATCATCAACACATCTTATACATCTCCTTCATTGATCCCAAGTGCTCACCAAGACACAGGTAAGGGATGAGAATCTCTGCTTCAAGTTGAACGTTGCAGCACTAGCCACAGAGATTCCAACCTTTTGCCTTGGGAGTTCACGTCAACTGCTCTAGCAATCAGCAGGTGGAGCTACTGCAGGAAAGAGCAAGTTACCTAGGCAAGAAACCAGCTCTGCAAACCACAGGGTGATGAAAGCAGCTTCAAACGTGGAAAAAAAAAATCCAGACACGATAAGTCCATGTGAACTTTAAAGCAGCAGCAATTTCCCAGCAAGGAACAAGCCCTTGAAATGCCCTTTTCTTTCCAGCAGCCCTCCTTGCTCTAATTAGTGGGAATGGCGAGTGCTGCCAAATCTCCTATCAAGGAAGGAAGTGCCCTGAAGGAGACACAGAAGGTCAAGGTACAGGGTAGAAACTGGAGTTTGTGTCAGCTCGGCCAGTTCCCTGCTGCTTGTGTGAGGTCTTTAACTTGCTTTACTTGCCAAACACTGAGAAAGCTGTGAAGGACAGTTGGAAGTGCCACGGACAGGCAGCATCTGCACTGGAAGCCCCACCTCTAATCAAGCGAAGGCAGCTAGAGGGGAGCCCCTTGGTGTCTGCTGCCCGGGGACATCCAGCTGCCTTGGCAGAGATGAGGGGAACAGATGGCAAGTGACAACCCAGGTATTTGCAGAATGCAGAGTAAGCCAACCCCGAGAGCACAAAATACTCCCCCCGAGCTTTCAGACCCACACGCCTGGACAAACTCTGCCAAAACGCACACCATTTCGCATCTTTGCTCTGCCACAAGGAAGAAGCCACTAGAATTTCGTCATTTTGGACTGCCCAAAGTGTTGGTATGAATAGAACCACCAAAATTAACCTGCAATGCACATCTAATTTGCATAGGAAATGTTATATTTGATACCATCATTACAAACAACTATAAGGAAACTCACATTTGGAGATATTTTGTAAATCAGCAGTCTGCAGCTTTGAAAGAAGTGAGACAAAAGAACAAAAAGTCAAATGACTGAAAAAGACTAACTTATTGACACTAGAAGAAAATATGATAGCTGATTTTTAACAACCCTCTAATCCTGTATGTTCTAGGTTACAAAATACAATGTTAGTTTTTTAAAATCTGATCAGAATAAAAATTTGGTGACACCATTTCCTGTAAGGAAGTTATAATGAATACAGTAGAACAGCTGAACTAGGAGCATTTAAATCTCCTTACTTCTAAGTAGGGGAAAAGGAAAACTCCACGACAGAGAGGAGGGAAACACTTTGGTAATCAGTTCCATAAAAAGCCAACGCATCTAAATGATGCGGAACAGCACTGACACCAGCAGTCAGTGCCATCAGGTCGGCGTGATCACATTCCAAACAGCCAAAGAATTCAGAACTTTTTGAATTAATTTTCAAGTCTACACAGCACATATCATTATGATGCTGTTGAAAATTGCAGAGTCCAACAGACTAAATGACTTCCTATGATTCAAAGCTTCCTGTGCCCTAGCAAAAGCGTCAAAGGCACTGCCCCTGCTTGCTCTGTAAATCACCAGCCCATTAGAAGCAGCAACAGAGCTACAGAACGAACAGGAGCAGAGCTGCCTCTGCAGGCCTCTAGTTCCATCTAGTTTAGTGAGCCTAAAGAAGAATTTTTATCTTCAGCCATACTAGATAAGCCGAAGCAAAGTAGAAGAGAAGGATTCCAGTTGTGCCAGAGATGAGCCTACCGTGCATACTGAGGTCCTGTGGAATCATACCACTGGCTGGAAGCCGTGATGTCTTCATCCCGAATGGTTCCTTCCTGCATGCCCAAAGGATACCGGCATATGGCTGAAAGAGGGGGAAAAAAAGCAGGTTAACAAGTTTTTTTTTAAACCACCAGACAAGTCTCATTGATAGGGTATGGAATAAGCAGCACAATAATATAGAGAAAGCAAATCAAAAAGGGAAAAGCAATTTAAAATCACTATAAAACCAGAATCACAAGTGACAAGATGTGTTGACACAGACAGCTAGTATAATTCAGCAGAGTCCTGGAAGAGCAGAGACTTCACAGAAAAGGATTTTTAACAACATCAAAACAAGAAACATACTAGTGTAACAGGTTATATAGGCAGATTCTATAATGAGATCCTACTTAATGATGATACAGTAAAAAATGAAGTATTGCATCAAAACTTTCTTCTCCTCCTGGAAGAAACAGGGTGCTCAACTTGCACTCAGATAAGACCACTCCATTCAGCAATCCAGTTTTAGGCAAAAAGTTAAAAAGCACCTAATTCTAAATGACCAGATAGCTCTCAAGGGAACATCTGCACTATCGGGACACCGCAGGTTACAGGTCTCCTCATTTCATCATCTTCACGACTACCTGGCTCTGATAAAGTTGTTAACCATGTTCAGAAGGCAAGGAGAGACAGATGCATGAAATCCACCTTTTTGCTACCACTTTCACCATTGGCCGAAGAACAATCTGACAAATTTCAATATAAAAATGCCTGTAACCACACGTTATTTCACAAGGATTTTGCTGTGATCGTCAGACATGGTATCAGCTGCTAGTGCTCTATCTGCTCACGAAGTGTCTTGGAAACGAGACGTATGGTGAGGTGACAATATTTGCTGATGATACTGAGTTATTGAGATATAGGAAAATAAAACTGAAAGAAGAATAATCCTATGAACCTGTACTACTTTGCAGTAAATAACACCAGAATTCAGTATCAGAAAGTACAAGAAGTGAAGAACAGCCTAAATATACCAACACAGTGAAGACTGAATTAACTACTTCCAGACAGGTTTTTGTTGCCTTGAGAGATCAAAAAGCAACTTATTAGTTGGTTACAGAAATGAATATGGAAGACACCAGTACACTGCTGTCTAAAACCATGACACACCAGCCTGTCAGACACAGAATACAGCCCCTACCCCTTCCTTCTCACATCAAAAAGTGGGAAGGACAGAGATGTTGCACAAGACAATGAACTTGTCCCTGTGCCTGGGCCCTCCTGGCACTGCCTGTAGAGGTGGCCCACAGCAGTCAGGGGAGACTGGCAGCATGGGCACACAGACATTTAGGGACTATGTTCACGATTAGGTTTACGTGTGCGTGTGTGTGCACATCTATATATAGATCACGAGAGGGAAAGAAAGGCTGGGAATGAACACATGAAAGGTGGGAGATGAGTCCTCCCCTAGGCCAGCAGCTCCCTACCAGGGTTGACTTCGGTGCGAGACGCCTCGGGCAGAGAGGCCAGGAGCAGCATGCAGAGGATCATGGTAGCAGTCACAGCGCTGGCCAGAGTCACACGGGTGCTAGTCCTTCACAGGCCGCAGCTGCCACCTACATTTCTGAAAGAAAAAGCAAAGGTGAGCTGCCAACGCCCCCAAGCCAGTGCATCTCCCCGAGGCGCACTGGGTCAGGCACTTGCCTTCCCAAACGCCCTGACCCAGCTCTGCTCTGATCCATCTTCTGACCAAAGGCTGCTCGAGCAGCGACTGCTCGACTACCAGCGCAGTCTCTCACAGTGTTAATGTAATTCAGCTTTCAGGGGCTTGGCTGCCGTGAGCACTCGCAGACACCATCAACTACTGCTCTTAAATAAGGTCACTGGAAGTTGATCTCCCTCCCTTTTGATCTTCATTTTCCTTATTATATTAGTAGCTACAGAAACTATTTCTTTCTGCAGCAAACCAGGGAGTGAGCTGGCTCACCCCAGCAACCCCTCAAGGGATTTATCCAGTTCATCCGAGCACACTCCTCTACCTGCACTAGCTGTCTACTCCAGGTAGGCAATTGGGCACTCTAGACATTTTCATCCAGTCTCAAGATAAATACCTAAAATGGGGTGAAAACAAATCTCTCCCTACATGCCCTTACTGCTGCCAAAAGAGCATGTACTCTCACACAGGCAAGTACACTTAATTTCCTGTTTGGAAATGAGGAAAATAGCTACAGGCTTAAACGCTGGCAATTGCACTGGAAAGCCCTGATAGCACCTTGAAGAACACAAGGTCACCTCAGCAGAGCTCTGTGAATTCAACGTGTCCATGTCTGCTGCAAGGAGCCCCGGGGACTCCCACTCTGGAGCAGGGCTTTATGGAAGGCAGGTTAGAGGATCCGTCTCGCATAGCGGTGACAGGCAAAAGGGGAACAAATCAATAAAAAGTTGCCAGGACCAGAGGCCTTTTGCTCAAGAATCCTCAGAGCGGTAGTAAAAAGGCAAACTGCGCTTTAGGATCTGTTAGCAAAGGAAGAAAGGGAGGAAAAGGCTATTGCTGCGCCAGCACGAACGGCGCTTGCAGAACATCACACACCATTAGCTCCACTTCCCAAAGAGGGTTGGACTTTTTTTCCCTCCACACAACATAATTAAGCTGCACAAGTCACAGCCATGGGTTGCTGTGGATACCAAAATAATAGAAATATTAGAAAGAAGATACACAAGGGTTCTCAAAGGCAGAGCTAAAGCCTTTGGCTCAGGAAATTCCCGCGCCCGGATTGCTAGGCACCCTGGAGCACCAGCAGCCAGAGGCACTGCGGCTGCCGGGGCTTCATTCTCTCACTCAAGGATTTGCTCCTGGCCCTTGTCCCTGCTGGGTCCCTCCCAAAATGAGGGCTCTCAGCCTAAGAGAGGGTCTGAGGGCCTTCCCAGGAAGCAAATCTAACATGCACGTGGTGGGGAGATGAGTGGGTGCTCTCCAGGGGTGCTGCACCCAGCATGGGGAGCTGCACCCAGCATAGGAACAGGTGGAGAAAGACCCTCCCACCACCCCCTCCTGTTTAAGCTGCGCCTAGCGCTGCACCCGGGCAAGGAGGACACGGGTGGGGTCGGGTGACACTGTTGAATCGCAGGCAGGACGTGCACGGAGGCAGAGGGCTGCAGAGGAAAGTCAGCTCCAACCCCAGCAGAGGTTCTAGCAATCTGAGGAAGAGGTTTCAGCCAAGCCCCATCAAGGTGCCCCTGCACCCCAGGGGTCGGTCCCCTTTCCAAATGGAAGGGATGCCACAAACTGATGCAAACGCTGTCCCAGGAGACACCGTCCAGCTGGGCGCAGCCGGCGCTGCAGTGCTCAGTGCGCGGAGGAGGGTTTTGGACAGACACGCGCATGGTCCAGGACGCAGACGGAGCGTGGGGATGTCAGTCTGTCCATAGGGGTTGGGAGCAACCCCCGGAGGGGCTCCCGGAGCAGGCTGCCCAAAGAGCAGGCACAGAAGGAGACCGTCTTCCCACAGGGCCTTACGGAACAGGCTGCCATGGAGGGAGGTTCGGGCAGCCCTCGCTCCCGCGGCTCTGAGGGCAGCGCCGCCCCAGCACCCAGCACGGCAGCTGTTCAAACACCTTGGCTTTGCTCCGGGTCCAGAACCGCACGCACAGGGCTCCCTGGCAGGGAGATGGGTGCTCGAACAGCGCAGCAGGAGCAGCTGCCCGCACGGGTGCAGGCCTTTGGGCTGCCACCACAGCAGCCTCGAGCACCAAGCAGAGGCACCAAACCCAGCCCCAGCTTAAGGCACCAAACCCAGCCTCCCGCCTCCTGCCACAGGAGCTTTTCCGCCAAGTTTCTCCCATCACCTCCAAACGAAGCACAATTCACAACAGTCAATATTAGAGCAAGACGCTAAGCGTGACAGGCCGTTCGCACAGTGTTTTCTCCTCTGAACAGGTACAAACCCAAAGACCAACTATTTACTCCACACAAAGAGCATGACACTCTCCATCACCCCCATGGTACCACCATTCAGACAGGCAGATACACAGTGATGTGGCCAGATACAGCAAAGAGGAGAGGAGCCGAGGTGGCCAAACAAACACTCGAGCATCACGTCAGCTCCCGACTCCGGGCCAGCACCTAGAGTTCCCGGAGCACCTAGAGCGCAGCAAGCGGCTGCCCACCCCGCCGGCACCCCCGCCACGAGCAGGGGCTCCCGGGGCACACGGAGCTCCCCGGGACCCGCGGAAGCGATGGGCCAGCAGCAGTGCTCTCTGCACACAACCCTCTCCATCAGAGGTGACCTGGCCTCAACATCAGCTGGGGGAGATGAATCCTCACCTCTGCGCATGGCAGGAAAGGGGTATCTCCGGTGAGGAGCTCAATGCAGGGACCCTGGCAGCTGGTCTGTCCTTCCTCCTGGACTGTTGATGGTCCTGGGGTAGGTGCTGCACACAGGGAACAAACGGTCTCTTCTAGTCTTTTAACACTAAAGTCATTTGTGCCTTGAGCAGGGACACCTAGAACCATTTTTTCATTCCTGTCTCGATTTAGAGGAGCGTACGGTCTCAGCACTGCTCATCAGCACTTACTACTGGCATTCCTTGCAGGAACTGTTGATACTGGTTTCTACTGAATTCTTAACCTCAGCTAGTAGTAAATTCAATTTCCAAACTGCCCTTCCAAGTGCTGGAACACACTGGAATACAAAAACACTACTAAATGCAAGTGCCTTGGAAAAGTATCTTCATCAAGATTTTTTTCTAGGTAGAGGACTCGCAGCTCTTCTCTCTGCAGTTCTCTTTCAGCTGCAGTATGATGCCTTGCCTGCGTGTGTCTTCATTCCCACACATTTTTGCCCACACATCCGCAGAAAGTGCCAAAATTACAGCACAGGCCTGAAACCAGCAAAAACAGGATTAGCAGCATTCTCACAGAGGCAAGAAAGTGTTAAACAGTTCTCAGGACTGAATGGATCAAGTTGCTAATTGCTAACAGCTGGCTGCAGCAGAATAAAGTTCTGTTACAATCATTTTGAGACTGGAAAGAAAATCTACTCACTGAAAAACTTGCACAGAAATGCAAGAGAGGACAGTTTCTTTCCCAACATACTGAACAGACGGCGTGCCTCGGAAGCCGACCATGTCTGCACCAGGAGCTCACCATGAACTAGCCCTGTGCCTAGCGCAGCGCGCGGCCCACGAGCAGCGCAGCGGGCACAGGAGGGAGCTGTTCTTGAGCGAGCTGCATGAAGAAGGTGGGACTTGGAGCTCCTCCAGGTACTGTTCTGCCTCCAGAGATCCATTACGGAGGCCTGGCACATTTGCAGGCCTCTTCAGGTCCCAACTGAGCAGACATTTATTTTAACTGGTTCCTTCGCAGATCGTTACCTCGAAGTGGGAGCTTACGGGTTGGGGCAGGAATCCTCCTCCGGACGCCAGCGCCCTGCCAAGACACTCAGGGGTCATAATCAACACTAACAGCTCTGTGTATGAGACACACTGTACACAGAGCAAGGGAATTTATGTGAGATCAAAGCATCCTCAGAAAAGGTTCTGGAACAGTCAGGAGAACCTGATGATGGGACCCCAAGTGCTAAAATTCAATGGGGGAACTGCAGAGCTTCTACTCGCAGTAGTATCTGAAGCCTGAAGAAAGAGAGGCTGGCAAGTGTGATGCCCATCTTTAGGAAGGACTCCAGAATAGGAGTGGATCTTCCCCTGGCCTCACAGTAACCTGACATACCTAGAATCCAAGGCTTCCTCCGGAGCACAGATTGGGTCTATACAGTGCCAATTTTAGCAAAGCAAGAGATGGCAATGAAAACACTTAGCAAGTAGCATTGTGACCAGCTCTCCAAACGTCTCGTTTAGTTTACACTTCAAATACCTGTTCCTAGCATCTTTTTCATTTTTTTAATTAAAAAAATTTTTAAATCTCCCATCATCTTCTCCCTACACCTTTCCTTTTACCATTAACAACAATTCTGCCTTTGCAGCACAGTAGACATCATACTAAGAGAGCACCGGGATAAAGAGCCTTAGGAGAGGCAGTACCTTCTACGAAACCATTTCACAACAGTTGGGAGAAAACAGAGCAGCTCTCAGAACTACAGCTCCACCAAGCTACTTGCACAAAGGAGGAGGCTGCACTGGATAAGTTTGGATATAACCCCCCCCACCACCAGAGAGTCCGAAAGCGCAAAAACCAGCAGCGGTTCCAGCAACATGACGAGGACCCAGGGCAGGAACAGCAACACCAAGGTGATCATGGCTGGTAAGCCCCAGATTTTAGGGGAAATAAGAGGCAATAACGGGGAAAACAGGACAGGACTAGCAAGATGGCAGTCTTTGAGATGGGATTAGGAGACCTATCACCACAAAAGGCCAAGGGAAGAACACACGGTGCAAGGGGCCCTCAGTGAACTGGAGGGGGACAGGGCCGCGGCCGAGGTGACGGAGGAACGGGAATGCCGGGCTGTGCCTGCCCGGTGGCACCGTCCCGGGCAGCGGGGACGCGGTGCCACGAGGCGCAGCCTCGGCTCCCGCGCTGGGCTCAAACAGATGCCACCACGGGGAAAAGGCAGACGACGCCTCCTGCTTGCTGTGGGTTAGGAGGAGGAGGTGTTGCGGTCACCCACG